TGTAGTCTACTTCAAGGTGACTAACAACACAGCTAATTTCAAAAACAGATTGGGGCAAATTGCTTATTGTAAGAGAATAAGCAATTTTAATTTTTGCAAAGACAGGTAACTTTAAAACTTTGTTTATAGCTTCATCTTCTTTGTGTGGAAAGTAAATTTCATTTCAAGCAGGCATTTGTTTGTAAGTAAAATTATTCATTTACATCTTGTTTTTACACCTGATAATTGTACCTAAAAGTTTATGGCCATGGTTTCTTATGGAACTTGATACACTTTTGGATGTTGACATCCACTGACTTTTAAATCATATGTATTTAATTCACTAATTTTTACCTATAAAACTATGTTATTGCCCAGCTGGTGTGGCTCAGTGGTTGAGTGTCAACTTATGCACTAGGAAGTCACTGTTCAATTCCAGGTCAGGGCACATGCTTGGATTGCAGGCTCCAACCCAAGCAGGGGGCATGCAGGAGGCAGCAGATCGATGTTGATTTTTCTCTCTCATTAGTGTTTCTCTCTTTCTCTCCCCTTCTCTCTCTCTCAAATCAATAAAAACATACCTTCTATATATCTATATAATAAAAGCCTAAGCGACCGTTATGGTGGAACGACCAGAATGACCTGTCGCTATGATGCACGCTGACCATCAGAGGGCAGACACTTAACACAGGAGCTGCCCCTTGGTGGTCAGTGTGCTCCCACAGGGGGAGCATCGCTCAGCCAGAAGCCGGGCTTATGGCTGGTGAGCGCAGCGGCGGTGGCGGGAGCCTCTCCCACCTCTGTGGTAGTGCTAAGGAGCAGCAAGCTGAGCAGTAAGGAGCAGGGAGCAGGTGGGCGGTAAGGAGCGAGGGGTCCTGGACTGAGAGGGATGTCCCAAACTGCTAAAGGGCACAGGCTGGGCTGAGGAACCTCCCCCACCCACCCAGTGTATGAATTTTGTGCACTGAGCCTCTAGTGTGTGTGTGTGTGTGTGTGTGTGTGCGCGCGCGCGCGCATGCGCGTGTGCCTAAGTGACCGTTAAAACCAAATGACCGGCACGACCAGTCGCTATGACATGCACTGACCACCAGGGGGCAGATGCTCAATGCAGGAGTTGCCCCCTGGTGGTCAGTGCGCTCCCACAGGGGGAGTGCTACTCAGCCAGAAGCCGGGCTCACAGCTGGCGAGCGCAGCTGCGGTGGTGGGAGCCTCTCCCAACTCCGCAGCAGCGCTACCGAGCAGCAGTGGCAGCAAGTGCAGCGGGCTGGGATGAGCGCGAGTGGCACGGCACCCACCCCTGCTTGGGCTCCTCCCTAGCCATCTAGCACTTGGCACACTGCTACATCCCTCGGGGGATGTCCGACTGCTGGTTCAGGCCCAGTCACCGCAGGACCGGCAGGCAGACAGAGTGGTTAGGGCCTAAACCGGCAGTCAGACATCCCTCGAGGGGTCCTGGGTTGCAAGAGGGCACAAGCCAGGCTGAGGAAACCCCGCACTCCCGTGCACAAATCCGTGCACTGGGCCTATAGTTTTAAAATACAAATATTCTTATTTTTGTTTTATCAATCCTCACCCAAGGATATTTTTCCATTGAGAGTGGATGGGAGTGGGAGAGACAGAGAGAGAGAAACATCGATGCGAGAGACATCGATTGTCTCCTGCTTGCGCCCTGATCAGGGCCAAGGATCAAGCCTGCAGTTGAGGTACATGCCCTTGTTCGGGTTGACCCTGAAACCCTTCAGTCCACAGGTCGATGCTCTATCCACTGAACCAAACCGGCTAGGGCTAAAAAAACTTTCTATCTATAATAATAAAAGCATAATATGCTAATTAGACTGGACAGCTGAATGACCTTCCAGATGAAGCTGCGGCAGCGGTGCCAAGGCAAAGGCGGTTAGGGGCGATCAGGCAGGCAGGCAGGCAGAATGGTTAGGGGTGATCAGGCAGGCAGGTGAGCAGTTAGTGGCGATCAGGCAGGCAGAGTGGTTAGGGGCGAGTCAGGCAGGCGAGCGGTTAGGAGCCAGCAGTCCCAGATTGCGAGAGGGATATCCGACTGCCGGTTTAGGCCTGATCAAGCGGGCCTAAACCGGTAGTCGGACATCGCCCGAGGGGTCCCGGATTGCAAGAGCGTGCAGGCTGGGCTGAAGGGCCCCCGCTTCCATGCATGAATTTCATGCACTGGGTCTCTGGTATTCTCAATAATTAAGAATTTATGAAATGGTTGATACAACCTTAATAAATACCTAATCTGCAATTGATGGCTTTGTTTTGTTTACTTGTTTTGTAAGAAACTTTGATTTCAAATTAGTGCCTTTTTAAAAAATTGCTTTTATATATGCTGGACTAGGGGCCCAGTGCATGAATTTGTGCACCTTTAAAGAAACTGGGTTGCAAGGCTGCGGTGGGCACAGGGGCGGGTCTTGGCCCATCCTCCATGTCCCCGCCCAGCCCCTCCTGCCATGGCCCCTGGTTCCCTGTCTGCTGGCAACCCTGCTCCTGCTGCCTCCGCTCCCATGCGCTGACAGTGCCAGCCCCGCTTGTACCCGCTGATGGCACAGAGCGATTGGGACCCGTGCCAGCAGCAGGTGCAAGTGGTGGTTGCTGCCCCGATCACCCCTCAGGAGCAGGGGGAGGTGGAGAAGCCCTGAGGGGCAATCAGGGCCGGCAGCCAAGCAATCAGGGCTGGCGCTGGGTGCCAGCAGCAGGTGCAAGCGGCAGCTCCGGCGCTGGCCGCGGGTATGAGCGCCAGGTGAGACCGTGGTGCATGGGAGCAAAGAATTTTCAGTAACCACCAGAGGCTCACCCCATGACAGCAACTGGCGCCCTGCCTTGGTCTGGCTCACCTGGCTCCACCATCCCACCACAGCCGACACCCACCTTGTTTCACACTCTGCCGATGCCCGCCATGTTCCACGCATGCCCCCTGGTGATCAGCGTATGTCATAGCAACCGGTTATTTGGTTATTCCGCCGTTCGGTCTATTTGCATATTAGGGTTTTATATATATAGATAAGATGGTCTTATTTAAATTCTGTATGATCCTAAATACTGGAAATGAGTTGTTAGCCTGAGGAGATTACAAGGCCCAAGCAAAGCATAGAGCCAGTATGGCATAAAGTGTTTTTGTTTTCCCCCCCATACTGCAAGTCCTTAAAATTAACATATGAAATGATTCTTGAGCTACTAGATTCCTTTTTTCCTTGAGTTAACTCATTGGAAGGTTTTTTCCCCCCCATTACAGTTAACATTCAGTATTATTTTGTATTAGTTTCAGGTGTGCAGCACAGTGTTAGACAAAGTGTTTTCCCTGATAGGCAGTTGTATTAATTACCTTGCAAAAGCAAAATGTTTTAATTCACATGGGGAAAAGAACACTTTTTTTTTTGTATATATATTTCTTTTGTAAAATTTACTTTTCACCCTGGCCGGTGTTGCTCAATGGATAGAGTATCAGCCCAAGTACCAAAGGGTTGCGTTGCAGTTTCACTTCCTGGTCAAGGGCATGTACCTGGCCCCATCTGGGCATGTGTGGGAGGCAACCAATCAGTGTGTCTCTCTCACATCAATGTTTCTCTCTTCCCCTCCCTCCCACTCTCTCTAAAAAAAAAAAAAAAAAATGGAAAAAATATCCTCAGGTGAGGATTAACAAAACAAAACAAAAATTTATCTTTCAATTACAGTTGACATACAATATTATATTAAGAACTGCCATTGTTGATTTGAGCATTTAGTAATGACTCCTATTAACTTTGTAAATTGCTAATTTTTGAGGCTTAGTAGAATTTTGACTAAAGTTTCTTTATATTTGATAAAACTGAAAGTACCCAATTTATAAATCATTATGAATGAATTTTAAATAAGAATGTTCGCAAATATTAGTTTACAAGTAGCCTATCTGAAAAGGGAATATTTTATTGAAACCCATAACCAGTTGTTCTACTAGAGCCAAAAACCTAGGCTGCATAGGATAACATCATTAATTTATATAATTAGTAAAAAGTCACACTTAAATAGGTATTTGTAGAAATAGTTGCTTTTACATGAATGTTTCCATTCGTTCCTCTACCCCATCTCCCAATAAATGAGCAATTATTTATCTAGTTTTCTTTCATAAGAAAATTTTTATTGTCTTATTTTCAGGGTCGCAAAGTCAATACAGATGCCAGGCAAATGAGAAAAGCAGGCTAGTGTGATAAAAGAGGGGATGGTAGAGTCTGGGGCAAACAGAATTTATATGACTCATTTAAAGGCTTAAAATTATGTTTTTATCACCCAAGGATATGTTTTTATTGATGAGAGAGAGAGAGGGAGAGAGAGAGAGAAACATGGATATGAAAGAGAAACATCAATCAATCTGTTGCCTTCTGTAAGCGTCCCGATGGATGATGGAACCGAGACCTTTTGTTGCATAGGACGATGCTCCAATCAACTGAGCCACCTGACCAGGGCAAGGCATTTAAAGTTTTTTCAAATACGATACTTCCAAACAAAAAAATTTTGCCATGTGACTTTGCAACCTTTGGGTTATATTCATTCAACAATAACAAAATTTCAATTTTTGTGTGTGGGTTGTTTTTATAATAAAAACATTCATCATTAGTGTGCTCATCTATCAATATATTTGTACAGGCCACATGGTATTTTAATGGATTAAAAAAACAACAACAAGTGAGATGAAAACACTCTCAGCCCATTTCATTATTGAGCCTTTTTCTCCTGGCTAATCTTAGTCCTTATGGTGATACTCAAGGATAGGGTTAGAGTGATAAGGGTAGAGATTGATATTTTTTAAATTAATTCTTTTTGGGGGGGGGTAGATAATGATATTTTGACAGTTGCATCAAATCAGCTCTATCAAAATACGACTTAAAATCTGGCATTGTAGGATTTTGAGGAAATTCGTATTCCCAGCTTCATTAAAATTTTATCCCCTTACATTAAGTTCACAAAACAACAAGAAAAGAAGTAATGTATCTCATCCTACTCATTGTTCTACATATTTGTATATTTTACCTTTACAGCCTGAGGAAGAACTTGATCCTGAAGAGAGGGACAACTTCCTCCAACAGCTTTATAAGTTTATGGAAGACAGAGGTACTTTCATGCTCATTCATTGAAAGTAGTCATGTCTTTTACACTTTTAGATTCTAGGTTTATGCATTGTTTTTGTTAGAATTATGGGTATATGGATTTGGATTTAAAGTAATACCTGAAAGTAATTAAGTGCTTGGAATAAAAATAATGTTCATATCTATTTTGACCAGAAATATATAGAAAAATAGTTTTGGTACAATTAAATTTAGTTTCCTTGGGACTTGTAAAACCAAAACATATAATATTTCAGTAATAGAAAGTGAACAGTCATAATGTTAATCTACATACCATTAATTAACTAATACTGTCTTTGTGGCAAGTAAACTAGCCTGATCCTTGGTCTCAACAAATTAAACATAATAGGAGAACAGTTCCTATCTAATAGAATAGGATTTCTATTTAGAAGTTAGAAAAAAATGAAAGCTTTAGAGTTAGAAGAAATAGAACCCTCAGAAATCATCATACTTCTTGACATTACATTAGTTCTGAGAAACCCTTAGATAAATTGTCCTGCACATCCCCTGTGGCCTTCAGAAATCATCCTTGAGATTACTGCTAATAGTCTTAACATTTGTGTTAAAATAGAGAAAATGGAACCATGGCCTAAAATGTCCCCTTTGCATTGTGTGTATTCTTGCCCAGGCTTTTTGAACCAACAACACTATTGGCTACACCTTGTAGTCCTAAGGTTAATGTAGTTTTACCCAATTCAGTGGTAGTTAGAGAGGTGATTTTATTATTTGTGGAGGTAAATCTAAGGACTACCACAAGAATATACTGAATATTTTGTGTTGTCTTATATAACTTAAAAGATTAGGTTTTTAAATATATCCACTGATTAATGAAATTTGAGAAATTAGAAATTGATAGCTTCTTTTAGCTTAGTTTTTTTGCATTTGATTAAACATTATTTCTACCCTCTATAAAAAAATAGGTACTCCAATCAACAAACCACCTGTTTTGGGCTATAAAGATCTCAATCTCTTCAAACTCTTTAGACTGGTTTATCATCAGGGTGGATGTGACAATGTAAGTAAGGAAGTGATGAAAAGTTAAATTATCTAATGTTTCACTGTTATATGTACTTTAGGTAAGTAAAGATGATCTCCCTTTGCAAATGTTAACAAATAAAAACTTAATTTTCCAGATTGATAGTGGTGCTGTATGGAAGCAAATTTATATGGACCTTGGCATTCCTATTTTGAATTCAGCTGCTTCCTACAATGTAAAAACTGCATATCGAAAGTAAGTAGTATCGTTTATTCATCAAAGAATACATAGTTACAGGGAATATTTTCCATTTATTTGGTTAGCAATTAAATAAGAATATTAAAGTTGGAGAAAGTGTATAAAAAGGTTTAGGTTAATAGATACTTGTGATTGAAAATTATTTCAGTGCACCAAGTCTGCTGTGCTCCATTTTTTTGTGTTGTCCTAATTTCCTTTCCAAAATCAGGGATGCAGGCAGCATTTATCATCTAAAATGATTGTGCATGTTATGGAGCTCAGTCTTTTGTGTGAATAACTTTCAGATCAAAACTACAATAGCTATGTTCAGTTATCACAAGCTTATATTTTTTAGGAATTTTATGATCAATGTTTCTGTTTATAATTCTTCTTAAAACACCAATAATTTAGTAACATAGAAAAAGTACTTTAAAAAAAGAAAGACTTGAGTGTTACTTTTTAAAAATGTTTGTTTAATAATATAGTATTCGAGTTAAATGTAAAGACTAAGATTTATCAAAGGGAAATACTGTTCGTTTAGGTATCTTTATGGTTTTGAAGAGTACTGCCGTTCTGCAAATATCCAGTTCAGAACTATTCACCACCATGAACCAAAAGTAAAAGAGGAAAAAAAAGACTTAGACGAATCAATGGAAGAGGCTCTAAAACTAGACCAAGAAATGCCTTTAGTAGAAGTAAAGAGTGAACCCGAGGAAAATATTGATTCAAACAGTGAAAGTGAAAGAGAAGAAGTAGAATTAAAATCTCCACGGGTAAGTACTTAAACTATCTGGTTTATTTTAAAAATTACTTAACATTTTTTATTATGGACATTTTCAGATACATACAAAAATATTTTAATGAACCTAATTTATTTTCTAGTATTTAGTTATGTTTTAGCCAGGCTAATCTAGCTACCTTTCTCTAAATATATCACATATTATCTCTTCTACCTGAGAAATCATTTCTCCTGTTGTTTTTGTGATTTTTTTACAAATATATTTTATTGATTTTTTTACAGAGAGGAGGGGAGAGGGATAGAGAGTTAGAAACATCAATGAGAGAGAAACATCGATCAGCTGCCTCCCGCACACCCCTCACAGGGGATGTGCCCGCAACCAAGGTACATGCCCTTGACTGGAATCGAACCTGGGACCCTTTAGTCCGCAGGCCGATGCTCTATCCACTGAGCCAAACCAGTTAGGGCTCTCCTATTATTTTCTGTTTTTGTTTGTTCAAGTCATTCTCATTTAAGGTCAATCCCAAATATTCATTGCACATTCCCTCTAACGTTGCTCTTTTTATATGTAACATTTATTCTGTTTAGTATATCTTGTTTCTTTTACCCTCTCTGCCCTAGAATCACACTTCAGGAGGGCAGGGACTAGTGTCTACTCTATTCATTGACAGTTCCCAGACATCTAGAATAGTGCCTGACACATAGTGAGGACTTATTTAATAGTTGTTGCATGAATGAATCTCCTCTTTATAACGCCTGTGCTCCCAACCAAGTGGGATCTTTTCTCCGTGTTACTCCATAGCACACTGTACAGTGCTTGTGGCCATTTTTTCATGTTCTGCCTTGTTTTCTAGTCATGTGCACACTGGTTGTATCTTCTAACTCTACTCTTCCTCTCCATAACTATGTAAGTCCTTTGTAAAAATTGTTACCCACTGTTTTGGTCATTGTTGAATGATGTCTACATAATAGCATTTATTAAAATTGAGGAGAAAGAAAATTTATCACACTCTCAAAGTTCAGTTACTGTAATATATCTTATTTTTCAGTGAAATCTTATTTGATTGAAAGAGGAGGTTGAAGTCACCTTCTCTTTTATCTAACCAGAAACCATTTTCTAAACCTGTCTATTCCGACTGTCATCTAGTAAATGGAATTTTCTAGTGAATTTTAGGAAACATACAAATTGGTTTGTCTCTTTTCATCTTTTTAATTTTTAAAAATTGTGGCAAAAATGTGTGTTAAAAAATTGTAAGTACACATAACAAAATTTATCATAACCAATATTAAGTGTATAGTTCAGTGGCATTAACTACATTCACATTGTTGTACAACCATCACCTTCATATTATGTAAAACATCTATATTGTATTGTATTGTATTATATTGTATGAGTCCTGTATTGTAGATGTACCATAAATTTTCCTTCCTCGAGATTTTTCTCCAATTTTTTACTATTATAAGAAGAGCTGCAATAAATGTGCTTGTAAAAATATCCTCCTAATGTAGCTGAATATAGAGAGCAGATTTGTAAAACTGGGATTTCAGGGACAAAGGTATATAGACCTAAATTTTAGTAGATAACAACTTTCATTCATACATATAAATATTTAAAGGGCACCTGTCTAGTTCTGAGAATATGAAAGTGAGCATGACAAAGTGCTTGCCCTCATGGAATGTAAATTTAGTTCTTTGTGACAAGAAAAATAAATTTCTTTCTACCTTTGAAGTTTAATACATAGTCAGGAACTAGGGAAAATATTTGTTATACTGAGATATTAATTGTAAAGTATTTCAGTGGTCCCTAAATTATTGGTGCCTTTTTGTCCTCACTTTATTCCAAGTAGAGGGGAATCGTGCCAGTGTGTGGAGGTTGACTTGAAGAAGAATTTAGGAAATAAATATCTCACCAGTTTCATGTTCAGTTGAGTATGCAACAAGAGGCTGAGTAAAAGCTGCTGGGGGCATAAAAGTACAATGTAGGCCCAGTGAGCTCTTCAGATACTCACTCAAAGAAATCAGCTCACTTCTGGCCATTGATGCAGTTCAGCCCTTTTAAAATGTAGCTATACATAACTATAGTGATAATATAAATTTCATTTTAAAAAACAGTAGAATTAGAGACCACAGAACTTTTTAAAAGTTCATACATAAGTTAGGGGGTTGGTTTATTATTACTATCATTATTATTATTAACTTATATCATTGACATTTAGATACTGCTTTAAAAACTTTTATTGTAGTCAAGAAATACTAAAAGTGAGATAATGTAGTGAACAAAGAACATTTTTCTTTTTTAAGTAATCTGTAGCTAAGGATCATAGTAGTCCTGGACATAAGTAATTTACATGAGGTATTATTTTCAAGAGGAAGAGAAGTACATAGGTGTTACGTTGTCACTGTCATTTCTCAAGCTAGAGAGAAGACTAGTCATTGCTATGAACGTTTAAAAACAAACAAACACATTTCTTTTGTCCAACCCTTGCCCCCCTTGTAGTGATAGCTATTTTAAAGCTTCTGTACTCTCTATTTAAGGGACGAAGGAGAATTGCTCGAGATGCAAATTCTATTAAAAAGGAAATTGAAGAAGAGAAAACAGAAGACAAATTAAAAGATAATGATACAGAAAGTAAGGATGTGAATGATGACTATGAAACTGCAGAGAAAAAAGAAAATGAGCTACTACTGGGGAGAAAAAATACACCAAAGCAAAAGGAGAAGAAAATTAAAAAGCAGGAGGATTCTGACAGAGACTCAGATGAAGAGGAAGAGAAAAACCAAGAGAGGTACAATATCTTATATTTGTTCTCCAGAAGCACCTGTCTGGGGCACGGCAGTGCTCTGTTCCTGCTTAGATATTCAGGTTTGAGGGAATGTTTTCTTATTGGGACTTCCATTCCTCTTGTCTAATGAAGGTGAAACACATTGTGAAGATGATGTGTATCGCCTTTCGGAATTGGAGAATATACTGGTCGCACCATTTTAATAGCACTTGTGCCCTAAACAGTGGCCTCAAAGAAGGCTGCGCCACCCAGTCAAAAGAAAGGTCCTGCAGTTGACAGCAGGGAAGGGAGCTGGAGAAAAATGGAGGAAGTGGACAAGAGGAAACAGCGACAGCAAAAATTCCATTTTAAAAAAGGTACAATGTGGGAAAGCTAACAAACACATGGGTGCACAATACTAGCAGATGTTTCTGTGTGTTAGCTTTATCTAAGACATTTTTCTTTTTCAAGTTATTGTATTAGATTAAGTGGCATGCACCCCTTATTCTTGTTTGGAAAATACATTCTTGCCCCACATCACACCAATAAATTTCAGCTTTTTAATGTCCATCCTGTTTGCTGTTGAGTGAAAACTGTATTTCCCCCCCCCATGTATTATATACATGTATGGACTGAATTGACTTAAAAATAACCAATTAGGCAGTTCAGCTAGATCAAAGTAATATCCGACGGTGTTTAGTTGGCCATTTCTGTGTTGTCAAATAGATTTACTAATTTTTATATACTAAAAATGAATTTTAATTCAGCAGCAATAGCATAACACACTTGTAATATAAGCTCGCCTCCATAGTTATTTTTCATTTATTACATTATATGTTGCTAAGTTTTCTAGAAATTTGAATTGTTGAGCAAAATTTGGGAAAAGTAGCCTGCTATGTTCAAGTAGTGGCTGACATCCATCTGAAAGTTAACTGTGGACAAAATATTTAGAAAAATAGGAATGACTGCTGAGCGAAGAGATAATTTTATGATTCAGTACAAATAAGTGTAGGAGCTATCACAATTGTGTGTGAATTAGATTAGTGAATAAGGAAAGTTCTGTAGTAAAATATAATTAGGATTAGGAAAAGTAGAAGGAAGTAATTGGAGTTGAGTATAATTGCGTATAATGGTATTTCAAATATTTGGACAAAAAATTTAAGCAAAGGTGAACCACTTAAAAAGTAGGGTTTAATTATAGTTTGAAGTTTTGTTAATAAGCAATATCATTAATATAATATAATATAATAAATAGAATTAATATAATAGCTATATATATGAAAGCCTAAGTGACCGGCCGGTAGCTATGATGCTCAATGACCACCAGGGACAGATGCTCAATACGGAGCTGCCAAGTGACAGCAACTTTGCAGAGTGCCCTCTCACACTCCAGGACCCCTCGGTGGATGTCGGACTGCCAGTTTTGGTCCGATCCCCACAGCCAGGCTGAGGGACCCCACCTCCCAGAGGGACACCACTCACTCCGTAGACACCCTTCGAGCCCCAGTGCCGCCCCAGGTGCGGCCGACCAGGGAGGGACCACGGGAAGTTGGCTCCAGGGTGTGTCCAGCTACCCAGTCCTGCCCTGCCCAGACCTGCCCTGCTGGCCACCTTCTAATTAATTTCCTTTCAGTGTGCATGAATCTGTGCACCTGGCCTCTAGTATAATACATAAAACACACAATACATATATAAAATATAAATGGGTCGAATATTTCTTTTCATAAAATAAAAATTGAATATGCAAATAAACCATCTGTATTCTCATTCTGTAGCAGGAATCATGGAAATGGGAAACATTCATATCTATAGAAATTTGTTTTAAGTAGTTTCTCTCATAGTGTTTGAAATTACCCTTTCAGGATGTAATTGGAAGGTACCCTTGGAGAAAAACATTCCCAAGGCAAATGGGTTGTCAAAGCTATTTCATGTTGACTGCCTAGTGGTCCTCCAAATAATGCTCTGTTTATTATAGAGCACAATGCCTTCTCTTAAGCATTTAATAATACTCTTGTGACACTAGACTGGCCTTTGATGCAGATCTCTTCTGAATCCTTGCAATATTAACACAGGATGTTTGCAAAAATATTATTGGACTTCCCAATGTGAATCTCCTTTTACCTGATTATCAAAACAAAGAAAAGCTAATGGGAGATGAATATAAACAAATAGAGAATATACTGGTTGCACCATTTTAATAGCACTTGTGCCCTAAACACAAAGATACACAAAGCTTTTTTCTCCTGGTGCTATCCCACAGTTTCAACTAGTGACCTGTTGAAATATAAACTAATTTAAAAGATATGGTTACTAAAGTAGATAGCTCTTTTTCATTATTTTATCCATCAAAAATTAGTCTTGCTAAGAACAATTTTAAATTGAGTAGAAAGCAATAGTAATGTAGATTTAAAACAATTTAGTTGCAGGAAGTTACAAATTACTTTTAGATAATTTTTGCATATAAAGTGACACGAGTGTGAATTCCAAAGGCTTTCAGAGCATATTATTCTTACTTTGTTTTAACAAAAGTGATTTATTTGACTCCACATCATCATTTAATTATATTATTGATTGGCCTTTAAGAAGTCTGGATTTACTTTTGGTACAGTGCACCTTTACATAATAAATAAATTCCTTAGTAAGTAGTCCATTAAAAATCTTCTCCTTCTCCTCCTTCTTCTCCTCCTCCACTGACATGCTATTAAGGTAATATTTAGGTTGTGACTATTGTATATGTTGGATTTTTTTTTTTTAGCATATATTAGTTTGTTCTCCATTAAGCTATTAGTAGCATTATCAATGTTATAACTTACTGCAGGGAAGAAACTGAAAGCAAATGTGACTCTGAAGGAGAGGAAGATGAGGAAGATACGGAACCCTGCCTAACAGGAACCAAAGTAAAAGTAAAATATGGACGGGGAAAAACGCAGAAAATCTATGAAGCCAGTATTAAAAGCACTGAAATTGATGATGGAGAAGTTTTATATTTGGTACATTACTATGGTTGGAATGTGAGGTAAGCAAGAAATGTATTTTCTTACTATTGAAATTTCTTTTCAGTGATTCAAAAAGTTCAAATTAATGTTGTGAAGAGCCAATGCAAATGGTATGTGTATTTATAAAGCACACCTTGTACCCTAATTTTCCAAGATTTCCAACACTTCCACTGTTTACTAGCTGTGCCAATACTCCCAGCAAAGGTTGCCTAGATCATACCTCCAGTTGAACAAGTTGGATGTATTACTCATTTGCAGTGAGGAAGAATGTACAGCATGGAGAGCTGTGAGGTGATTCAGGAAGAGGGTGTTAGGTGAAAGCCCAGAGTACCACCTTTGGGGGCAGCCATAGCTCAGGATTCTCTGAGAACATCCTGCAGGACATGGGCGAAGAACCAGGCCCACAGCTCCCAACAGTGCAAATGGGTTTGTTTGTTTATTACATTTATCGGAAATCAAAACGATATCGGGCATTGCAGTAATTCTAAATTGATTACTTTAGAAAAGTGTTAGGAAGGACTTAAGATTTGAACTTCTATTAGGTGATTTGGGGGAGGGTTTAAGGAAATAGGGCTTTCCTCCAGATTGGAAGCTGTCAAGACATAGGGTTAATCTGTGATTGGTCATCTTAATAAATGTTATCCATAAGGAGGGAAGACTAAACCAATGTAGATTGGTAAAGAGGCTGCAGTCAGGGGAAAGGGATGTTTGAACATTTTTGTGGCTTGGACAATGTTCCTGTTTTTCTGTGTTTATACAACTTTAGGGGGTGGTCTTGTTTTTGTCTTGATTCATCATAGTCATGTTGCAAGACTTGTCTGATGTTGATGTTCTGTGAAATTGTTCATGTTCAACAGGAGAACAATACAACCTAGCTGTGATGCCAGATCACCTCTGTAGCAACACCAAGGCCCACCTGATTGTACCAGGCTAGTTTTCTTTCTCCTTTAGAAAGGCTTGTATGTTTAATACCTCTGCTTGGTCTGTATTTGTTTGGAACAAGAGTACTCCAAGGTTTCCCTGCATATTCACAGTATACTCTGTTAATACCTCAATTCCCTCATCTCTGAATTGGGGAAGATAAAATACCTACTTTGTAGAGATGTGAGAAATCTTGGTAATACCTGTATTAAAATACAAAATGCTTACAACAATGCTTGGTACTTAGCAAGTGCACAAGTAAATGTTAACATTTTCTTTTTCTTTTTAGTGAGTTAGGTTTCTTTCATCTCACATCATTTTAAAGTTGGGTTTATCACATATAAAATATTTTTAAAGTATGGGTTTATTGCATATGAACCTCTAATTTTTTTTTCTTTTTTCTCAAACCAGCTTGTGCCTTTCACATTTCTGCTAACATTAGAAACAAACCTAGTCTACCTCACTGTTGTGTTGTATGTACTGTTGTTGAGTTCAGGAGGAAAGCCTACATTTACCAACTTTGAGTCACTATCTTTGCAGTTATGGCATATTAAAGTCTTCTTTTTTCCTCAGATTCTATTCAGTTCATTCATCCACTCTTATTTATCGTCTTTGTGGGTCTGTTCTTCTGTTCTGCTTTCTAGAATTTTCCCTTGCTATCATCTGTTTCTCTAAATTGTTTAATGTTTTACTGTATGACCAGTCTCACAGACATTTTATTATATGTTGGCATTCTTCCGAACTAGTTAAATCCCTAAATACTTACTTAACTGGTTACTGACAAAGTTCATGGTTTTTCACTGTCCCTCCATACTCCTAAATGCTGGTATAATTTTGGTGTGCTCATTGACATAGAGCCACTATAATTCCTAGAGAATCTGGTTGGATTTCTAAAATAGAGTGGCATGTGAAACTATGAGGGAAGTACTAGTCTTAGTTGAGAAAGTCTCGGACCACCTTTGGTTGGCAATATTAATGCTGGAATACCTACGTGGCATACGGTGGTGACCAGGACCTGCTGTCTTCCAGGTCAGGCCTGTGCTTGCTGATTGTCGCATATGTCCTGTGGAATTTTAGAGTTGGGCAGAGTTACTCACTATTTCTTTGTTAGCCCATAACCAGACACATAACCCTCTTATTGTATTTGCCAGACTATACTTGGTTTTAATATTTACCTGTCTTTCAAACCAGATTGTGAGTTGCGTGAGAGCAAGGGCCTTCCTATTTTTCTCTATTATTCTCTACATACTTCCTCATACATACTACCTGGCATGCTAGGTAGGCCCTCAGTAAATGTCCAAATGAATGGATACTTCTAAGTAAGGTCATAATGTACAGATACTTAGCCTGGTAAACTGAAGATATTGGGTTGATTCAGGAGAGATCATTTTCAAACCATAATATAGGTAATCATGATACCATATCAACCAGAACTTGTGGATATTGGAACCATGTCCTTGCTTTGTATGGTAACTGGGTTACAAAATGAGGATATGGTTTCCATTAACATGACGCAGTTCAAAGCAAGGACTGCCTGTAGTTTTTTGCTTCAGTGTTCAGATTTTGGATTGTGATAGAGTTCTATAAATACCTATATATTTACATAATGTAAGAACTGTTATTTAATTCTAGAAAGTTGCATTTTTTATTTGCCCCTGATTAGTAACGTGGGCTGACTATATTGAAATGAAAAAGTGTTGCCAATATTTTGGAAAAGGTACAGGAGAAATGAGTTTTCAACTTGAGCTAAACAGAATAAACTTTATATATAAAGGAAATTATCTCTAAAAAATTTCAGTCTTAGAGGTGACATAGTTCAGAATAAGATCTTATTAGAAGTACTAGAGGCTGGAGAGAGTTCTCTGAGGAAAAGAGAGTTGAAAAGGACTTCATAAATAAATCTGGAACTGATCATATTACAAGTTTGAATTTACCTGACTTATCTTTAAATTATTTGGTCAATAAAATGAATTCCAGTGCAGAATCTGTTTATTTCATTAAGTTCAGGTCTGTGGGAGCTGTGGAAAACAAAGCAGCTCAAATAGTCCTGAATCTATTTAGAGTTTGCTTACCTAGCTCTCTTGTCTTGCCCTATTAGTGGCAGGTATACAAAGCACTTAGTACTGTAGCTGGCACATGTTACCAACAAACCAGCCCCTATGCCCTTCACATTTCTGCCAACACTAGAAACAAACTCTTTAGCTTATCCCACTGTTGCTTTTATTTGATGAATATATTTCAAATAAGTTATTATTGTGAATTTTTAAAATACATTCTTTATTTTAAGGTATGATGAATGGGTGAAGGCTGACAGGATAATCTGGCCTTTGGACAAAGGTGGACCAAAGAAAAAACAGAAGAAAAAAGCTAAAGTAAGTTCATAGTTTATATCCTTTATGATAGGTACAGTAATTATTCATATTGTGTGTTTATAAATTTGTTTCCTCACTGTAATAATCATATTGATTCTTTTAAGGTAATTGTAATTTTCTCTCTTATAACCCAGAAGCTAAAAATGTAAACACATTAATACATTGTTTCAGGAAAGGAGAAAAACCAGAGACTCCTAGGACATAGGCATTAAACTCAAATGCCTATATCTGCTGTCTTGAAAAGGGATAAAGTAGGACTGATAGTGACCAATAGAAGGACATGTTCCTCTCCTAGAGAGGGTGGAACTAACCCCTTTGCAGTGGGATCCAGTCAGAGTTGCCAGATCTTTAGGATTTTCAAAAACAATACTTTTTAAAATGTAAAATCTGATTTTTTTTTAAAATCTTTACTCCAGTATATATTTTATTGATTTTTTTTAGAGAGAGAGAGGAAGAGGGAAAAAGAAACATTGATGTGAGAGAGAAACATTGATCAGTTGCCTCCTGAACACACCCTGACTGGGGATCGAACCCACAGCGTAGGTATGTACCCTGATCAGGAATCGAACCTACAACATTTTTGGTATACAGGACAACACTCCAACCAACTGAGCCACCCCGCCCGGGCTGAAATCAATTTTTAAATATTGGAAGCTAATACTAAGTTTTAAAACATATACTTGTTGGTCAGCTGTATCCTCATCCACACCCTGAATTTTCAACCTTTGCTGTAGAGATTCACCTAGTGTTTGCCTGTTTTATGGTAGATTTCTTTCTTTTTCTCAGGGAATAGCAAGGAAGAAGGAAGGGAGGTTGCTGAGTAGTTGTATAGCTTTCTAATACACCAACTCTGACCTTTACAATATAATTGCAGTGTTAGATGTTGTTGACCATCATACTCATATAATTATAAAATAAGTTAGAGAACAATTTGTTCTTAATTATTCGATAAGCACAGATTAGGAAATTGACATATAAAACATCTAAACTTTTTGAGTTTTGTTTTCCTTGCAGAAGTAGAATGTTCATTTTTCATAAGGAATGGGCTCTTCTCATACTTTTTGTTGTTATCCAGAATAAAGAAGACAGTGAAAAAGATGAAAAGAGGGATGAGGAGAGGCACAAGTCAAAACGAGGACGACCTCCTTTAAAATCTACCCTTTCGTCAAACATGCCATATGGTTTGTCTAAGACTCCAAACAGTGAAGGAAAATCAGGTACAAGAATTGCTCGCAGCAATATGGCAGACAGCTCACCTTTGTCAAATGGAATGGAAGGTGCTCAATTTTGAGGAGCACTGATTTTTAAGAAAACAATATAAATTTAAAAATGTCGGTTGTGTGAGAGTCGTAGAAGGTCATCTAAGTTTCTAATCTCATGCAATTTAAACTAAAATTTGATTTGAAGAAAATATTTATTTTAGTATATCATGGTTACTTAAAACCTAGTGATAGTTTAATTTAGGTGTACCATTTCTTGTCAATATCTTAGAAATACTCTTTTAATAGAGGATAGGTTGACAAGATGTGCATCCTACTGTGTGCTGCACTGTCCTTCAAAGCTTGCACCATGTTTCCTATAATTCAGTGCTGTCCCCTAGGATCTTTCAGCAAAGCTGAGACTATGTTGTTCAAAGAACATACACTAAGGTGGTATAGACATGTTTTGTGGTGAGTGTAGGTGAACATATTTTATTCTGCTTTTACCTTTTTCCCCACTTTTCTACCTTTACGTTTTTCATATAACTTAAGCAACATTAAATAGTTGCCTTATGTATAAAAATGTCCCTGCCTTCAAGGAAAAAGCTATTCTGAAACTACAGTTTTGTTATTAGCCTGTAGGATGCTTGTGTGCCAATTAGGAAAGGGCATTCTTCCTCCTCTGTACTGCCATCTGCTGGACAGTTGCCATATTACACAAATGCAACATGTCCACAGAGCGAAAGATCTCAGGTGGCATGCCCAGTGCAGTGTGCAACCTATAAAACTATATATAATAGTCTTGCTAAACTACTTATAAAAGGGGTTGTATTTTTTTAATTAATCCTCACCAAGGTTATTTTCTCTGTTGGTTTTAGAGAGTGGAAAGGAGGGAGGGATGTAGAGAGAGAGAAAGAGAGAGAAACATCAATGTGCGAGACCCATCAATTGGTTGCCTCCTGCACGTGCCCCTGACTGGGGTTGGGGATTGAACCTGCAACCCAGGTACGTGCCCATGACTGGGAATCCAACCTGCAACGCTTCATAACACACCATGAGTCTATAATGTATAATATATTTTAACATGAGAACAAATGAATTCTAAATTCTGAATATGGTAAAAATTCTGAATATGGTAAAACCACAAAATAAAACTAGGTACCTTTTTATTTACAAAATACATTTAAATTTGCCTTTTTGAACTTCTGTGGACAGAATTTTTATTTTTTATTTTTTTTTATATTTTATAACTCCTATACAGTCTTTTTTTTTTTTTTTTTTTTTAAATATACATTTTATTGATTTTTTTACAGAGTGGAAGGAAGAGGGATAGAGAATTAGAAACATCAAAGAGAGAGAAACCTCAATCAGTTGCCTCCTGCACACCCCCTACTGGGGATGTGCCCACAACCAAGGTATATGCCCTTGACCGGAATCGAGCCCGGGACCCTTCAGTCCACAGGCCGATGCTCTATCCACTGAGCCAAACCAGTTAGGGCTCCTATACAGTCTTAAAACTCTATTTTAAAAATTATCTGACTTAGGATGATTTCTTTGTCTCTTAATCAAAATAGTATTTAAGTTTTGAGAATTCAAATTGCTCATTTTATACATCTTTCTTTCCAGAATTATTTTTAGTAGAATGTCAGATTCCTAAGGACATAAAATGGCCATCACATTTATTAATCACTACCTACTCTAGATCTCAGATCAAACCACTTTATCACTTCATATCTAGTTCTTTGAATTTTCTAAGGAGTATCTTAGCCTAAGCATGATACCAGTGCAAATTGCAAAATAGCTCTTTTACAAAATTAAGATAGTAATATTTTCTATGTAATGTATTTTTACATGGAGTTTAACTTGAAACCCTCCTCCACACACATTTTTTGCACAAGTGTATGATTTATTTTATATCAGAAATTTCTGTAGGAAGGTATTCAGAGGTACATGATTAAGGTTTTTTGGTTGTGTGTTTTTTTTTGTCTTTGGCAGAAATTCTATTACAAAATTACATTGGTAATTAAAATAGAAACTTTTCTAATATTTCCTCTTGCAGACTCTTGTTCATCTGATAGTGAAACAGAAGACCTTTTAGAAAAGAATTTGATGAATGAAGAACTTTCTCCTGATATTAAAGAAGAACTAGAAAAAAATGAAAATTTAAATGATGATAAACTAGATGAAGAAAATCCAAAGATTGCTGCACATGTATTAAAGGAAAATGATAGGACTCAAATGCAGCCTTTTGAGACTTTGAAATTAGATGTTGGAGAGAATGAACAAATAGTACAGATTTTTGGAAATAAAGTGGAACAAACAGAAGAAGTTAAGAAAGAGGCAGAAAAGTCCCCTAAAGGAAAAGGAAGACGAAGCAAGACAAAAGATCTTTCTTTAGAAATTATAAAGATTTCATCATTTAGTCAAGATGAAGCAGGAAATGAACCTCATATAGAAACTCATAGTCTAGAATTTTCTTCATTAGACAGTAAAACCTTTTCTTCTGCTACTGAAGATGAAATTGACCAATGTGCAAAAGAAAAAAAGTTGAAACGGAAAATACTGGGACATTCATCACCAGAGAAAAAAACAAGAATTGAGAACGGAATGGAAATGACAAATAGCATATCTCAAGAAAGGACCAGTGATTGTGTTGCATCTGAGGGAATGAAAAACTTAAATTTTGAAAAACACTTTGAAATAGAAAATGAAGGAATGCCGTCATTGATAGCAGAGTCAAACCAAGGCATTCAAGAATTGACTAGTGAGAAATTTGATAGTCCAGCTGAAGAAACTGTAAATACTCCACTGAAAGAAGAAGAGGATACAATGCCTCTGATTGGGCCTGAAACCTTGGTTTGCCATGAAGTCGATTTGGATGATCTGGATGAAAAGGACAAGACCAGTATTGAGGATGTAGTAGTTGAAAGCTCTGAGTCTAACTCGCTTGTTTCTATTCCATCTGCCCTACCTCCTGTTGTACAGCATAACTTTTCAGTAGCTTCACCACTTACTCTCAGTCAAGATGAGTCTCGAAGTATAAAAAGTGAGAGTGACATAACCATTGAAGTGGATAGTATTGCTGAAGAATCCCAAGAAGGCCTCTGTGAGAGGGAATCGGCAAATGGATTTGAAGACAGCATCGCCTCTGGTACCTGTAGTATAATTGTTCAAGAAAGAGAGAGCAGAGAGAAGGGTAAGAACTTTATGGGGAGAAAATCAGCCTTTATATTAAAACCAAGTTTTAGTAAATTAAGAGTTTAGGAACCCTTGATCTGTAAAAAACTTTACGTTCCTCTCTCCCTCCCTCCCTCCTTTTCCTTTTTTCTGTCCTTCCTTACTCTCTCCATTCCCTTTCCCCCCACCCTTTTTATAAATGTATGAAATTTATATACATATTGTTTTATATATATATATGTGTGTGTGTGTGTATATATATATAAAATTCATTTGTACAAGTGAATAAATATACTTGCTGTTGACTTTTCAAGATCGCTTTTCCTTTTCTTCAGGTCAGAAAAGACCAAGTGAGGGAAATAGCGGATTATTGGCAAAAAAGCAAAAGCGTACCCCAAAGCGAACAAGTGCTGTAGCCAAAAATGAAAAGAATGGAACAGGTTGGTGCTTTTCAATGCTGGCTTGTACAGTGTTAATACTTTCAGCAGTTTGTTGGCTTGATCTTTTGTGTCAATTTAAAAATAAATTTGGTTTATTGTATTCTAAGATAGCAATTTTCCCATTAATTTTTAATCTGAGGTGCTTGTCAGTTTTATTTAGAACTGGAATAGCTGTGATTATTTGTTATGCCTACTTGTATTTTTTATGTAAAGCAGTTTAATATTAGAGGAACATATTTGGGAAACTTGAATAAAAGAGAAACATTTGCTGTAGTGGTACAAGCAGATTAAGTTTACATTTCTGAATGGGTTGTTTTTCTTATATTTAGAAAAGCCAATTGGTAAATGGCTTGGTAATTTTAAAACATGGGGAAATAAAAACAAGAAAATTAGTAAGTTAATACGAATAGATAACATGAAAAACAGACTTCTGTACAATAAGGAATAAAATTAAGTCATAGAATATAGTAGAAATAAACATGGTGGATTTTGACAAATTAAAGTTTTCCTTTAAAACCTGCCTTCATACAAGTCTGAAAGCGACACTCTAGGTTACACTAGATACATGTACCCCTTAGTCAGATGATTAAAGTGAGCACCACCAATAATGGGACAAATTGAAACCATGTACCACCTGACACAATGCAGTAAGAAGAACATAGCACATCTGTGATTTCCTCTCAAAGATGCATATCCTGAATGTAATCATGAGAAACCATCAACATATTCAAACTAAAGGATATTCTATAAAATAACTTTTAAAATTGTCATAGTCATGAAAATCAAAGAAAGAAGAATTGTTGCAGATTAAAGGAGACTTATGAGATGTGACAACTAAATGCAATATGTGATTCTCACCTGGACCCTATTGCTATAAAAGGACATGACCGGTCAAGTAAAGAAACTTGTATGAGACCTGAGGATTAGACGATAGCAGAATATTTGTGTTAATTTCCTGATTTTGATGGTTGTATTATGGTTCTGTAGGAGTGTGGTCGTTTTCAAAACATATCCACAAATTTGTTGATACTCTTCTTTTCAAGAGACAAAGCCTAATTCTCTCCCCTTGAGTGTGGGCTGAATTTAGTGACTCATTTCTAACAAAGTGGAAGTGATAGACTACGATTCTGGAGAATAAGTCATAAAAGGCACCACAAATTCCTCCTTGCTCTCCCTTGGATCACTTGCTCTGGGAGAGGTTAGCTGTCACACTGTGAGGACACTCAAACGGTCTATGAAGAGGCCCAGGTTGTGAGGAACTGAACATCTCCTGCCAACAGCAAGCAAGAAACTGAGGTCTCCTGACAACAGCCACGACATGAGTCACCTGGAAAGCATATCCTCGAGCTCCAGTCAAGTCTTCAGGCACCACAGCCTCAGCTAAAAGCTTGACTGCAACCTTATCAGATCTCCCGATCCAGACCACACAGCCAAGCTGCTCCCAGAGTCTGACTCTCAGATACCTCGTGAGATATTAAACATTTGTTTAATCTAAGATTTGGTGTAATTTGTCCATAACTAACCCAGGAAAATGTTCTTGTGTTTAAAGAAATAAGCACTAAAGTACTCAAGTATGGTAGGGCAATTTATTTTCAAATGGGTCAGAAAAACATTTTTTTGGCAGCTGTCCCTATAATTTTTTTGTAAGGTTGAAAATGGTCTCAAAATAAAAAGTTAAAAAGATTGAAAAGGAAGAAAGGAGATGGACCGACCAGTTTTACTTTTTGAAAATAATCTTCGGCTTAACTAAGGCAGTGAAGGAAGGAAACAAAATCAATGATGAGAGAGAATCATTGATTGGCTGCCTCCTGCACACCCCCTACTTGGGGGTTGAGCCTGCAATCCAGGCATGTGCCCTTGACTAGAATTAAACCCGGGACCCTTCAATCTGCAGGCCAATGCTCTATCCACTGAGCGAAACTAGATCTCTAGTTCATTCTTTTTCAACAACTTTAGCAAAGTATTCAATAGTATATCATTTTTAACTGTTTCCCTATAGGTAGGCATTTAGATTTTTTTTTTTCTGTTAAAAACTTTGCACATTGTGCACTTATTTCTGTAGGATACCAAAAAGTGTAATTGCTGGTTCTGTTGCATACTGATATTTGAGAGTGATATATTTTCTAATCGGAGTCAATTTTTGTTGTTGTTATTATAGGACAAAGCAGTGATAGTGAAGATCTTCCTGTCCTAGACAATTCAAGTAAATGTACTCCAGTAAAGCATCTTAGTGTATCTAAGCCACAGAAGCTTGCACGATCTCCTGCCAGAATATCCCCTCACATCAAAGATGGAGAAAAAGATAAACACAGAGAAAAACATCTGAATTCATCCCCTAGGACATATAAGTGGAGCTTTCAACTCAGTAAGAAGCTTATAGAAAACTTGAATGTATATTGTAAAGTGGTATATTCCTTGAAATGTCAAAATGAGGAATAAATGATTAGTAAATTCATTTATTTCAGTTTCCAAATACTATCTTACCAGTAATCATCATTTGTTATCTTAAATACAAATCCATGTCATTTCATAATATTGATTTGTTAAATCTTCACTGGAAGAAAATCTCCAGTTAGGAAATAAGACATGTATGATTTATATGAATCAATGAAACAAACACCCTTTCTAGTATGGAAATAACTAATAAATGATAAAGCCATCAACATAAAGAAGCTATTTGGATAAATACAATTATAGATCAGCATTGCTGTGTGTTGATGTTTTCTTACATTTTTTTATTATTTAAAATATCAAGTAATGTTTAGTATAGAAATATGGGCTACATAAAGAAATCTTATTCCTGAAATTAATGTCATCCCTGTTTATAGAGACTTATTAGCTTAATATGATAGGTTTTAATAAACTAAAGCTTTTGATGATTTATAAGTTGGACTTCTGATAGAATTGCCATATTTTTCCTGAGAGAATTATTTTTAAATTCTAATTAACTTTTTTCCCCTCTTAGATGAATTAGATAATATGAACAGTACAGAGAGAATCTCTTTTCTCCAAGAAAAACTACAGGAAATCAGAAAATATTACATGTCTTTAAAGTCTGAAGTTGCAACCATCGACAGGAGGAGAAAAAGATTAAAAAAGAAAGACAGAGAAGGTAATTTGATTATAATTTTTCTTTCCTCTATTTTCTAATATATATCCTATCATCTTAAAAGATGTAGGTTTGTCACTCCTTGAATACATTAATTAATCGTTGTTTTTAGATTCTTGGTATTTTCTTCTTTGCTGCTGTTGAAGTGAGTCAACAACTGAATCAGAGAGACTCTTGAAAGAGATCATGAACTGTTTTACAAAATGTGTGATTTTCACTAAATGTGGTGGGTTCTCAAGAGTTTACTTGCTTGGAATTCACTCTTTGCTCAACATTTTACTGGCCGCCTATTAATAGGTACTGTATTTGTTATTATGAGGTTCACCAGATTGTTGGGATCATATGTCATTTCCTAAGCAACTACCATATAAGATAATTCAGGTGAACAACATTAATGCATACATACCATGTGCCAGGCGCTCTTCTAGGTAGTAGAAGTACGGAGAAGAATGAGATCCAGGCTTTGATCTCAAAGCTATTAATGTCTAGTGGGACAGTGTATGATGAGGGACCCAAGAGTGATAACAAGTATAGGTGTTGGTAGGAGAAATTACTTTGGAGTAGTCATGGGGAGAGAATAGTGTCTGACCTAGACCTTAAAAATGTGTACGATTGCCTCGGCCCGGTGGCTCAATTGGTTGGAGCGTCATCCCATACACCAAAAAGGTTGAAGGGCACATACCTAGGTTGTCAGTTTGGTCCTGGTTGGGATGCATACACTGGAGGCAACTGATCAATGTTTGTTTGTTTGTTTGTTTGTTTGTTTGTTTCTTTCTTTCTTTCTTTCTTTCTTTCTTTCTTTCTTTCTTTCTTTCTTTTCTTTCTTTCTTTTCTTTCTTTCTTTCTCTCTTACCTCCCTCTCTCCTTCCCTTTTCCTCTTCCTATTCCTCTCTCTCCCTTTCTCCCTCTCTGAAATTCCTCTCTCTCCCTTTCTCCCTCTCTGAAATTAATTTGTTTAAAGCCAACAAAACATATCCTCAGGTGAGGATTTATTTTTTTTTTTTTAAGTATAGGATTGCCGTAGCCCAGTGGTCGGCAAACTGCGCATGGGCCACAAAGTTTCAATCGCACTGTACGTGCGCGCCCGCACGTGGTATTTTGTGGAAGAGCCACACTGAAGTGGCCAAAGAGCCGCATGTGGCTCGCGAGCCGCGGTTTGCCGACCACAGCCCTAGCCGGTTTGGCTCAGTGGATAGAGCGTCGGCCTGTGGACTGAAGGGTTCCAGGTTCAATTCCAGTCAAGGGCACACGCCCGGGTTGTGGGCTTGATCCCCAGTTGGGGACGTGCAGGAGGCAGCTGATCGGTGATTCTCTCTCATCATTGATGTTTCTATCTCTCTCTTCCTCTCCCTTCCTCTCTAAAATCAAAGAAATATATTTTTAAAAATTTCTTAATAAATAAAAAGTGTAAGATTAATTCCTAGTTAAATATTGACATGTTCATATCTACTCTATCCAAATCCCAACTAAAATAACAGTAAAGAAAATCGAAAGCCTTATACTCACAAGGACAAGAGAATGGCACAGCAGAGTGTGACTGATAAGAAATGTCAATGGCCTATCTTTTGGAAGCTGAGGAGCAGATAAACTACTGTAACTGTCCTAGCAGATAAGGGAATGCTAAAACCTAAGCTTGTTTATTCTTGCAGTAGGACAAAACAAGCCAGTTCATACCACAGCACCCCAGAAAAGCTATAAAGGCAGGGATATGGGGTGATCCTGAAAAATGGAGTTTGTTTGAAAATGGAAGGAAAAATTAGATTCTTTTGTCTGACCCTTTTCCCACAGCACTGTCAGAAAATAAGGTGGATGAAGGGGCTCAATAAGCTTGTATACTCAGGGATATCAGTCATAGGTGAAGGTGAGAGCTAAATGCTAAACCAAAAATACAATCATGAGTAAAAGTTTGCAGAACTGAATGGTGAGACTCCTATCCTCTTTCCAACCGAGATCTTAGCCTGTTGGTTCCCCGAGAGCCATAAATCAAGTGTATCCTCATTCCTGGGACAAGATGGAAGGAAACCTCTGGATAAACTGGACAACCTAAGAGAAATGGTCTAACATAGATACCAACATTTGGAGGTTCCTGAATCAAAAAGCAAGATCCTTGCCAATAATTACACGTGCAGTGCCCACCACTGAAAAACCCTACCTACTATGCATGCACAGCTTCTGGTTAGCTTTTTAATGTCCCTCTCTTAAATATGGAAGCCATAATACCAGATAGGAAAGCCTCTACATATATGAAGACAGAAGCCAAAGTAGAAAAGGAGGAAAAAAAGGAACTTGGAAAAAAATAGACGTACCACATAAAAACACCAAACTATAATATCCAGAGATACAGGAAAGATATGGCAGTCTCAAAACAAGAATATAATAATAAAATTCAGAGAACAAGACAAATCTGTTAAAATTAAGATATAAGAGCAGAGCCCAGCTAGCATGGATCAGTGGTTGAGTGTCGACCTATGAACCTGGAGGTCACGGTTTGATTCCTGGTTAGGGCACATGCCCAGGTTGCAGGCTTGATCCTCAGTGTGGGGTGTGCAGGAGGCAGCCAATCAATGATTCTCTCTCATCATTAATGTTTCTATCTATCTCTCCCTCTCCTTTCCTCTCTGAAATCAATAAAAATATTTTTAAAAATATGATAGCAGGAATTTATAAAAAACGTAGTAGAATGGATAGATAGCAAAGCTAAAGAAATCCCAATAGAAGGTCAAAAAGACAATAGGAGAGAAGAATGAGAAATATTCTGAATCATAGGATTTCTAGAAAAAGTACTGAATAAACATAGGAAGTTGTCATCAAAGCAGTATTAAAGATTTCCAGAACTGAAGGATATGAGATAGACAGTTGAAAGGACTCACTGTGACCTCTATGAAGAATAGGAGAGAAAAATTACACCAAAGCACATTATGAAATTTCAGAACCCTATGGATAAAGAGAAGTTTCCAAAAGTTTACCATATAAAGGTACATACAAAGAAAAATAGGTCTCAGAATGGCATGAGGTTTCTCATGTCACATTTCTTGTTGGTAGCACTGTAAACTAGAAGCCAAGCTAAGAAGACAACGTGAGATCCAGCAAACAAGGAATTCCACATAGAGAAACAGTAAGGAAAATCTCAGGATGCTGAAGGAAAGCACTAGGCTGACCATTGCACAGCAGTCCTAGAAAGCAACTACTCCAGGAGCAGGATGTGTCAGGAGAGGCGGGTTCTGCGAGGGTTGTTTCTTTAAAAAATAAATAAAAGGTAAATTACCTGCACTGAGAGAATTTTGTTGCCTATGGCAGAGAGTTAAAGGATGAATTACTGACAGAAATGACTTGTGTCATATGTGGTCTTGAATCGTTCTATTCCCAGTGCAACTACAACAGTTTTTAATTCCTGGAAATATGATGGAGCAAATGGAAAGGGATATGGTTGAGATAAAAGGGATATAATTTCCATGTTTGTCTTTTCTTTAAATACTGTAAATAGCAAAAAGTCTTTACAAAATTTTTAAACACAAAAAGAAGAAAAGAGCAAGTTAAATTGAAATTTCTTCAGAGAACCCTCAACACTTTTGAGTTTCCTAAAGGTGATATAAGTTTCAGACAATTGAAAAGATTCTTCTTCCCTCTTCTCTTCTCTTAGTTTTTTGTAGTTGAAGTGAGACTTCTATCATACATGTTAAAATTTGTAGTATTGAGTTAATGTTATATTGGTAGTACACACACTCTGAGAGACATACTTAAACAACAATTGAAACGAATTGAAAAATGTTCAATAAAGTAGGAACAATTGACTCAACTGGTATGGCTCAGTGGTTGAGCATGAACCTATTAACCAGGAGGTTTACGATAGATTCCCGGTGGGGGCACATGCCCAGGTTTCAGGTTCGATCCTTAGTAGAGGGCATACAGGAGGCAGCTGATCAGTGAGTCTCTCTCATCATTGATGTTTCTATCTCTCTCTCCCTCTCCCTTCCTCTCTGAAATCAAAAATATAAAAAAAAAAAAAAAAAAAGGAACAGCCCTGACTGGTTTGGCTCAGTGGATAGAGCGTCGGCCTGCAGACTGAAGGGTCCCAGGTTCGATTCTGGACAAGGGCATGTACCTTGGTTGCGGACGCATTCCCGGTGGGGAGTGTGCAGGAGGCAGCTGATCGATGTTTCTCTCTATCCCTCTCCCTTCCTCTCTGTAAAAAAAATCAATAAAATATATATTTTTTTAAAAAAGGAACAATTGGGCAAAGATTAGCAGAAAACAGGTGAGTTTTGCAAAGAAAGAGAAGATAAAGACAAGAACTAAAAAATGGCAAAACAGAAGTGCGCAAGCGCGGCCGGCGGCGGGCGGGGAAGTGAGGGCGGCCAGGTCGAGTGACTGCGGTCTCGCCAGGCCGCCCATTGCCCGGCTCGCCGCTGCCATGGCCATTTTCAGTGTGTGCGTGGTGAGCAGAGCTGGTGGCCTGATTTACCATCTGGACAGCTACGCGCCACGCCCCAGGCTGAAAAAACGTTCAGTTACCCGCTTCATCTGCTGCTCAAGCTACACAACGAGCGAGTGCTAGTTGCCTGCGGCCAGCGCGACGGCATCCGGGTGGGTCATAGGCTGGGTCATAGGCTGAACTTGCAACAATCCCCCACCCCGCCACTGCCCTCCTAAGTTCTGAGATCCTGTAGCAGGGGTCTTACTGCGTCCTCTCCAATGGAAGTCCCAGGCACCTTGTTAGTACACCTGAAAGGGATCGGGGGAGGGGGGCTGAGTTTGATGAGGGTACTAATCCCTGAGCCTTCCTACTATTCTCTTTCCCGTATCTGTCATGGTCCTACTTTCCGACTACAGATTTTATTTATGGAGGAGGGAGGCCCATAAGTGCTGTAATAAACATTCCTTTGATCTCAAAAAAATAAAAAAAAATGGCAGAGCACCTCATGCTTAGAGTAGCAATCCTTCATCTGTGTATGTACTCCAGGAGAAGTATGTTAAAGTCACCAGAGGACTTTCTTCTAAGCACCCACAAACACTTCCATCCTTATCCTCTTGGTTCTAATATCAGATCTGGAAAGCTCCTGTTGCTTATAAGAATGTTGTGTCCATCAGGTGTATTGGGACAGAATAAAGATGGGAGGCCAATGGTTTGCTGCTTATAGGCAATTCTCTGAGATAAGTGAATTCTCTCAGGTCCTATAGCCCAGAGATAAAACAGGAATCTGATGTAGTGAGAATTGATCTCTGGTTGATGTTGTTTCTGATATGGGGCAAGGTGAATTCCTCCTAGGGACCTTTAAGTAGGGGTTTAAGAGTTTCAGGCCCTCGCTGGGCAGCTCAGTTGGTTAGCCGTGGTTGGCAAACCGTGGCTCGCGAGCCACATGCGGCTCTTTGGCCCCTTGACTCTGTCTCTTCCACAAAATACCACGTGCGGGTGCGTACGTACAGTGCGATTGAAACTTCGTGGCCCATGCGCAGAAGTCAGTATTTTGTGGAAGAGCCACACTCAAGGGGCCAAAGAGCCGCATGTGGCTCGCGAGCCGCGGTTTGCCGAGCTGCAGTTTGCCGACCACTGGGTTAGAGCATCATCCAGATTCACCAAGGTTTTGGGTTCAATTTAGGGTCGGCACATACAAGAAGCAACTAATGAGTGCATAAATAAGTGGAACAACAAATCAATGTTTCTTTCTCTCTCCCCCCTTCTCTCTCTCTAAAAATCAATAAATAATAAAAATGAGGGTCTGGGAGTCTTGGGATTTAAAATAAAAAAGAGAGTTTGTCTTTTTAATATTTAAATTTTATGTTGCTTTTTTTTTTAAATCTGAGTTACTTTACTGACCAGAGACTGATTCTTCTCATTTGAGCCAAAAAGTTTTTTGCTGATAGTTTGTTATTCCTACATGCAGCATCTAAGAAGACTACAACTGAAGTGAATAATGTTAAGAATTCCTATCTTGCCAGTGACTGGGCATCTTTGCATAACAGTTTTTGAGTCTAACGTAGTTGTTTTGATTCCACAGTGTCTCACGCAGGAGCCTCCATGTCATCTGCTTCGTCAGACACTGGAATGAGTCCCTCATCATCATCTCCCCCACAGAATGTACTTGCTGTAGAATGCAGGTGATACTCGTTTCTCTGCCTTCCCAGCAGTTTGCTGCCATGGACATAAATCCCAAACTCTGAAATACAACCACAGGAAGCACTCAACTGGCTTGACATTGCTAAGTATATCCTGTCGGCCCTTCCAGGCTGGATGGTATCTATTCCCTTCTTTTCTTTTTTCTGTTGCAAAAAGTAAGCTGATTAATAACTGAAATGTAGGCAGCCTGATGTATTTGTCATAATTTTTCCTCCATTTTTTTTTTCATTTTTTGTGAAGATAGAAAAAGGGCACTTAGCAAATATGAATTTGTATAATAAAGCTTTCAGGTGTTATAGAAATCATAGACAGGCAAGTGCACATGATAAACATCAAAACATTATCCAGCTGAATAGTTACTGCTGCACTTTCACTAAGGTGGACTGAACACTTGGTGAGTAGGGGGTTTATGTTGTGTGTTTTTGTTTTTTATTGTCGTTGTTGTTTTTTATTTTTGTGGAAGCACTTGCTATGTAGAACTGCCAAAGTATATGTTCAGCAGTGTGCCCAGGTTTAAAGGTGTAAATGGGACAAAATAAATTGTGAAAGGAAGTGTAGTTGACTGAAAACTACAGTTGTAATAAGTCTTCCACTTTTTATAGTATTTTTGAGCACACAATTATGCAAATATTTTAATGTTTATTAATGTTTACAGTGGAATTGTGAATAAGTTTTCAGTGGACTATCTTATCCCTTGACAAAAATATTTTGTCTTTTTTCTATGTAATTTCAGAGTTTTTATTTTGTTACAAAAAGACAAAAATGAAATATATAACAACAATGAAGTTATTTAACAAGATTTCTAAAGCTGAAATTTTTGTGTAAAATAAGGTATTATCTTGCAACTTGTTAAATATATTTATTCAGACATTGGATGTTGTATTTTTATGTATTTTTTAAAATATTAATAAAATTGAAAAAAAGAAAATTCTAGGTTAATTCACTCTTTGGATGACAATAGCTCTCAGCTGTCCCTCTTACAGGAGGCTGCACCAGCAGCTCTGCCTGTACTGAAGGGAGTCTGTCTCAGTCCTTCAAGCAGAATGATCTATGAATGGGCATCTGGATCATTAAAGTACATCCTCTTTTAGACACTTTGGCAGTCCTAGTATTTAAACTGTTTTGAGGATCAAATTTTTGGTTGCCCTTAAGATACTATGTCACAGTTTTTATGTTTGCTATACTGCCGAATGAATTTATATCTCCCAAAGTTGAGATGCAACAACCAAGTAAAACAATTATGTATGCTATGTCTGTGAATTGTTCCACAGACTGATACATTTTGTAAATAATTCTTCCAAAATCGTGTATTTAAAGCAGTTTTGCCATATACATTATGTAAAAACGTGATTTTTTAAAATCAGTTTTTAAATTCATGTTTGTACATTGAAAGGGTTTTTTTTTAAACTTCCTTATCTGTGTTTAATATGCTGTAGAGTAATAACCTAGATGCTCTAGACTGTATATCAGGATCTGATTTACAACAACCAAGTCAGAGCCAAACACTAGTGATGGCATAGCATTACTAAAATAATTGTTTCTTAATTTCATTTTACCACATTGTGAACTTGTGATTCAGATTCCTTCCATTTTCACAGAAAATTAAAAACAAAAAAGTACTCTTGTAAAATGCACTTCTCTGTCTTTTCTTTGCAAAGCAGAAGTATTTCAATGTAAAATAAAAATGGAGCTCAGTGGGCAGTATTAATAAAGGCCATGTTTTAAACATAGGCTTTATATATTTAATTTTCATTGAAGTGATTGTTGTTTTCCTAAGTGCCAGTAACTTATAGTTGGAAAATCAGACTTCAGAAAACAAAGCATATTCAATATATTCTTGAGTTTTCACAATAAAATTTTTCTAAAACTTAATTATAAAATTGAGAAAAGTGTGTCATTCAAATCCAGTTGGAAGAAGGAGGCAACCTTAGATTCAGACATTAGATATTTTAACGATTTCCTTGAGTACCAATTCATTAAATGTGAGATAACTAGTTATCAGCTTGGATATTGTCCCTTCTAATTGATATAAATCTGGTAATGAAGTATTGGGACCTTGTTACAGAGAGCAAAATTATATATTCATTGGGTATATGGACACTGTTAAAATTCTTTTATTTGGGCCTAGGAAGTCTTATGAAAGTAAGTGAATATTGACTAGGTATTAAAGATAAGATAGTAAGTGAATATTGATTAGGTATTAAATTCAAATATTGGGCATATTTTGAGTTTAGCTTAAACTTTGAGTAAACAATCTTGCATGTGACTAAAAAAGTAAAAATATAGGTACTCTCAGGAGCATGCCCACACCATTCCCTGTCCCTATCCCTGTCCCTTTCCCTTCCCCGCCAGGGCACTTTACCATTACCTTCCTCATGCCCAAGCTCCTAGGGCCCTTCCTTTGCCTCTATAACTTGTTCCTAAGATCATTTCTTATACAAATTGCTTCTTCTTCCTCTGTGATTTTATAAATAAATGTTCTCTTATTTAAAAGTAAAAGTATAAAGACACTCTAATATCTAAAATGGAAGGTGCGCCCAGCTGGTGTGGCTCAGTGGTTGAGCATCGACCCATGAAACAAGAGGTCAATTCCTGGTCAGGGCACATGCCAAGTTGCAGGCTTAATTTCTAGTAGGGGCTGTGCAGGAGGTAGCCAATTGATATTTCTCTCAATCTCTCTCTAAAAATTAATAAAAACATTTTAAAATATAAATAAATAAATAAAATGGAAGGTGCTATTAAAATCAAGGACTTTGAAGATTATGGAGATTTCTATTTTAGCATTCCTTTGTGTACTTTTATGTTTGGTGGTTTTGTATAATTTCTACTTTTTTAATCCTTCACTAAGGAAGATGTTTGTACTTATGTTAGCACATACATACTATGTCTTCTATGAAATTTCTTTAACTTATTGAAATCTATATGGATTAAGCTATTAATTTGCTTTAACAAGACAGAAAAAAGTCCCTGTATTTCCATGGAATGTATAATCCGGTGAAGTAGATGTTAAACCCTTAATCTATGTAATTCTTGACTGCAGGTGTGATAAACATATGAAGTTTCAGCATGCCATGAGATAGTGATACAGAGCCCAAGTTTGAAGGCAAAGATGGTCTGGGAAGGCTTTGCATAGAAAGCAAAAGCCCAGTCACAATTATGAATTGGCTAGGCAAATGGGAGGAGAGAGACAACAAGAGAGTAAAGTGCTCCAAGCACAAGAAGGAGGAGAAATTGGTAAAAATAAGTCAGGACAAGAATAGACCTGAGGCCAGGAGCCAGAATTATACAGGCATTGCCCAAACCTGCCCCTACCCACCTCTGTGTTTTGCTCCTTCTGTTCCCCCCATAATTCTGATCCTTATTTGTCCAGAGCTATCTCAGCAGCTACTTTTCCATGAAGTTTTGCTGACTTCTCATTATCACCAGAATATCTCCTGTTGGGCTCTGATAGCATTTTCAATCTTTATTATTTTCCTTGACAACTTACCTTGTATTATGCTACTTATGCATGTGTCCTATTATCCTACTAGAGGCCCGGTGCACAAAATTTGTGTACGGGGGTGAGGGGGTCTCTCAGCCCGGCCTGCACCCTCTCGTAATCTGGGACCGCTGGCTCCTAACCACTCGCCTGCCTGCCTCATTGCCCCTAACTGCTTGCCTGCCTGTTTGATTGTCCCTAACTGCCTCTGCCTGCCTGCTTGATGCCCCTAACTGCTCACCTGCCTGCCTGATTGCCCCTAACCACTCTGCCTGCCTGCCTCATCGCCCCTAACTACTCACCTACCTGCCTCATCGTCCCTAACCACTCTACCTGCCTGCCTCATCGCCCCTAACCACTCTGCCTCACGCCCCTAACCACTCACCTGCCTGCCTGCCTGATCACCCCTAACTGCTCGCCTGCCTGCCTAATCACTCCTAACCGCTTCTGCCTCGGCCCCCGCTGCCACTGCTTCGTCTGGAAGGTCATTTGGCTGTCCAGTCTAATTAGCGTATTATACTTTTATTATTATAGACTAGATGTTTAGTTTCTTATGTCCTCCTTAGTCACAGTTGTATCCCACAAAGTGTCTGGTCCAGCATCTAACACATAGTAAAAATGTCAAAAACTTGTTTACCACCCTAGCCAGTTTTGCTAAGTGGTTAGAGTGTCAACCTGAGCACTGAAGAACTCGTTTTAGAATCTGGTTAAGGGCACATTCCTCAGTTGCAGGCTTGATCCCTGGCCCCCTGGCCCATACAGGAGGCAATCAATTGATGTGTCTCCCCTCTCTCCCACTCTCTCTAAAAATCAATGGGGGAAAAAAAAATCCTCTAGTGAGGATTAAAAAATACACACCAAAAACAACAAGTGTTTACTTATGGTGAGAAAAATTACTTTTGAATTATTAGTTAGTTTATTTATTTATTTATTTACTAATGATCCTTATTTAACAGTTCTTTTTACCAAGATTTGAATATACACTTCACCAAAGAAGACATAATGATGGCAAATAAGCACTTATAGTGTTCATCAAGAGAATGAGAAGACAAGCCATAAACAAGAGAAAATATAAAAAATCTGATTATTTTTTAGTCTCTTTGGGCTGCTCTAACAAAAATACCATAAACTGGGGGGCTTATAAACAAACATTTTTCATAGTTCTGCAGGGTGGGAAGGTCAGATCAAGGTGCCAACATGGTCAGGTCAGGGCCTTCTGAGGGAGAAGGAGCTAGGGCCGTGGTCGGCAAACTGCGGCTCGCGAGCCACATGCGGCTCTTTGGCCCCTTGAGTGTGGCTCTTCCTAAGCCTTAGGAGTACCCTAATTAAGTTAGTAACAGTGTACCTACCTATATAGTTTAAGTTAAAATTTGGCTCTCAAAAGAAATTTCAATCGTTGTACTGTTGATATTTGGCTCTGTTGACTAATGAGTTTGCCGACCACTGGGCTAGGGAGCTCTGCAGGGCTCTTTTCAAAGGACACTAATCTCAATCATGAGGGCTCCACCCTCATGATGTAATCATCTCTAAAAAGCTCCACCTCCTAATACCATCATGGAAATTGGGGGTGGGGGGAGACAAACATTCAGACCATAGCATGCTATTATCCAAAATATACAAAAAAAAAATTCTAAATGCAACAATAAGAAATAATACAATTTAAAAATGGGCCAAAGACAGACACTTCACCACCAAGAAGATAGACAGATGGCAAGTAAGTATGTGAAAAGATGGTCTACATCATATGTCATCAGGGAATTGCAGATTAAAACATACCACTACATACCTATTAGAATGCAAAAATTCAAAACACTGGTAATACCAAGTGCTGGTGAGGATGTGGAAGAACAACTCATTTACTGCTAGTGGAATGCAAAAAGCACATCAATTCGAAAAGCAGTTTGGCTATATTTTTTTACAAAACTAAACATACTCTTAGAATATGATCCAGCAATCATGATCCTTAGTATATCTGTTGAAATGAGTTGAAAACATGTGTCTACACAAAAACCTACACACAGATGTTTACAGCAGCTTTATTCAAGGTTACTAAAACTTGGAAGCAACCAAGATGTCCCTTCAGTAAGTGAATGAAAAAACTGGTACATCTAGACAACAGGATATTACCACTAAGAGAAATAAACTATCAAGTCAAGAGAAGACATGGAGGGACTTAAACGCATATTACTAAGTGAAAGACGCCAATCTGAAAAGACTCCATACAACATTCTGGAAAAGGCAAAATTATGGTTACAGTACAAAGGTCAGGGGTTGGGAGAGGGAGAGATTGGATAGATGTAGCAGAGTAAAACTTCTGCATAATGTTATTCTGATGGGCATATGTAATTATACATTGGTCAAAATCTATATATATAAAAGGCTAATATGCAAAGTGTCTCCTCAGGAGTTTGACCTGGAGTTTGATCACTCGCTATGATGTGCACTGACCATCGGGGGGCAGTGCGGAATGAAGGAAGGCCCTGGCCGGGGAAGAAAGGTCCCAGCCAGCAGTCGGAAGGCATAGGCTGGCAGCCAGAAGGTCCCGATTGGCCCTGATCGCTGGCCAGGCCCACGGACCCTAGCTGTGCACGAATTTTGTGCACCAGGCCTCTAGTCATATATTTGCATAACATCAAGAGTGAACCTTAATGGCCCTAGCCAGTTTGGCTCAGTGGATAGAGTGTCGACCAAAGGGTCCCAGGTTCAATTCTGGTCAAGAGCATGTATCTTGGTTTCAGGCTCCTCCTGACTTGGGCCCTGGTCCTGGTCGGTGCTCCTGCAGGAGGCAACCAATTGTGGTTCTCTCATATCGATGTTTCTCTCTGTCTTTCCCTCTCTTATACTCTCCCTAAAAATCAATGGAAAAATATCCTTGGGTGAAGATTTTTTTTAAAAAGTGAACCCTAATGTAAATTATAGACATTGGGTGATAATGATGTGTCAGTGCAGGTTCATTGATTGCAAGAAATGTGCCACTCTGGGATGTTGGTGGTAGGGGAGGTTGTGTGTGTGGGATCAGTATATGGGGGCCCTCTATACTTTCTACTGCACCTAAAACTTCTCTAAAAGAATAAAGACTTTTAAAAAGGTGTTCAATATTAGCCTTTAGGAAAATACAAGGTAAAACCACAGTGATTATCCTCTGTATGCCTACTGAAATGCTAAAATTGAGAAGGTTGACCATACCAAATGTTGGCAACAATATGGAGGAACTGGAACTCTCATATATTGTTGGTAGGAATGCAAAATGGTTTAATCATTTTGGAAAGATGTTTGACAATTTTTTTAAAAACTAAATACTCCTACCATATGATGCAGCCATTTCACCTTTAGGAGTTAAGAGAATGGAAAATATTTTATCCTTATAAGGACTTGTATGCAAATAGTTATAACACCTTTATTTGTAATAGCAAAAAATGAAACAATGTCCCTCAACAGATGAATGGTTAAATACATTGTAGTATGTCCATAAAATGAAATGCTACTTACCAATAAAAAATGTACTACTGATAAAACAATATGGATGACTCTCAAAATAATTATGCTGAATGAAAGAAGCCAGACAATAAAAGAATACATATTGTGTGGTTCCATTTATACAATAATTTAGGAAGTACAAACTAATCTATAGTGACAGAAAGCAGGGATGGTGGAGGAGGTGAGGAAGAGTGGAAGAAGGGACTAAAAAGGAGCCTAAACAACTTCTGGGGGTGATGCATATGAATACTACCTTAATTGTGGGAATGGTTTTAGGGATGTATACATATGTCAAAATGTATCAAATTGTACACTTTAAAAATGTACAATTTATTGTATAATAGTTATATTCCAATAAAGCTGTTTAAAAGAAAGAGCTATTATCCAGCTTAGAACTATGCTTTTGGGACAATTGTTAATGCTTTCTCAATTTGAAAAATGACCAAAGCTTTTTAGGAATTCTGATCACCCAATTAGCAAGAGTGGTGTCTATGTTTGAGAAGAAAAATACACACTTACCATAGAAACTTGCCTTAAAATTTTTCAGTTACTTACCCACATTGTCTCTGTGGCAATTTCAGTTTGAGTAATCTGTTTATTTTTAATCGCTGTAATTATTCCCTGAACACCCACCTTGCTTCAGTTTCCCTGGCCCCATCCCTCTCCATGTACCATAGAGATTAACTATGAATTCGTTGAAAATAATGGATGGGAAGGGGCAAAAGGGCAATAGTGGTTTTATTAGAAGATAAGACCAGTCAGCCTAGAAGAATATCCTTTGGAACCAGGCTAAATCCATCACTAAGATTCTGAACCCAAAACTCCAAGATCACCAGTAACACTGGATTCCGATGCTGTCCTCTATTTTTGTGTTTACCATCAGGTTTTGACAATAGCTCGAGTTCCCAACTATAAGACTGAGTCATCGTAGGAAGAAAAAACATACAGCAGTCAAGAAAACAACTCACATCTGCTAACTCAAACTGTGAGGGCCTGGGCTGCTTCTCAGCCCCGACTGTAGTCACAGCAGTGATGAGCACCTTGCGATGCACACTCTAGCAATATCATTAAATCTAAGGAGCAGCTGAATAACCTAACAAAAAAGATAAACTTTCATTTCTTAGGTCCTTACATAGCTTATGCCTTTCTCTTTGGCTTAGTTTAAATTCAAAACTCTGATATTTGGGGTAAGGTCTTACCTTCTTTCTGCTGTGTCTGCTGAATAAGGCAAATATTAGGAAGAAAAGCATATAGGCCAGCAAGGATGATGGTTCTCTCAGAGTTGGGTTTGCTACAGGAGCTTTGGCTGTCAGGGTCAGCTCAGCAAATTAACGGTGGTTTTTTTGTTTGTTTGTTTTTTTCTAGGCTAAATGTTTTTGCTTCAAAATTCCTTTCTTCCAGTTTTTGAGCTAAGGTGGCTGGGTACTTTGGGCTGCTGGGTCCTTTCAGGTGATAAGGGAGACCAGGTTGAGGAGTACGGCTAGTGCTCAGGAGCTCCCCGGGCAGTTCTGTAGATGACGACCAAAGTTTTGCATCAACTTAAATTTGCAGGTGAGGGAACACAGTCCTAAGGAGGATCCAGTTCCCCAGCTAACCAGATTGCTGACATACTGTGATTTGCCTGACTGGGTATCATCGTGGGCACAGGGACAGGGGTGGGGTGTGTTGGGTAAATGGGGTTCAGAATTTGGTGCAACAGACCTAGGTTTGAACAGAGCTCTGTTGCTGGGTGGCGGTGAGATCTCCCACCCAGGTCCTCTGGGACCCTTGGCCTCCTCCTCTGTCCGCCAGCAGCGGTGGTGCCAGGCTTCGAAACCTGTCGCCCTGCGCACTGGAAGCCCGGAGGCCGGTATGGGCGCCGCGCCGACGCCCCCTGCCGGCCGGCCGGGCTCCCCGCGCTCGCTGGCCCGCGCCCAACGCTCCGCTGGTGGGACGCCCGCCGCCGGATGCCCTGCATCCGCACCCTCCTTGGCCTCCTGGCGGCCCTGGCGTCCTGTGGCGCCGTCGCCTTCCTGGGCTACTGCGTTTACTTCGACTGGAAGCGGCGTGGCGACCCCGCCTTCAAGCGCCGCCTGCGGGACAGTGAGTGCGACGGCGGCGGGGGCGTGGCCCGGGCGGCAGGGGGGCCGGGGTGCCGCCGCTTTGGAGGGGCCCGCGCGGCGCACACCGGCGTCGGGGTGACTCCATTCAGCACGTGCCATGTTGTCTTTGCAGAAAGAAGAGCCCAGCCTCCAAAGGCTGATGGACCCGGCGCCCAGGTGAAGAGCTTTAGCGACGCCCAGGTGGCGTAGTGAGTAACCTGCCCGCAGTGCAGGGCCCGGCTCCGATCGGGGTCTCGGCTGGTTCCTGAGCTGGCACTTCCGAGCCCACGTGGAGTTCAGGCTTAGTTTTTATTGTCGCTTACAAAAGAAAAAGAAGGAAGAACCATTTGGGGTTATGAAAAGGCAGCTATACAATAAACGTTGTAGGAACAATTGCTTCAAACAATTTCTTTAAAGTATGTTTTTGTTAATTTCAGAGAGGAAGGGAGAGGGGGGACTAGAAACATCAGTGATGAGAGAATCATGGATCGGCTGCCTCCCGCACGCCCCCTACTGGGGATGGAGCCCACAACCCAGGCATGTGCCCTTGACTGGAATCAAACCGTGACCTCCTGGTTCATAGGTGGATGCTCAACCTCTGAGCCAGGCCAGCCTGGTGCTCACTCTACCTTTAAAGACCAGCCTGGGCATGGTTCCAATGATGTGGCATCCTGTGACCCTGGTCATGTTCATACCCCAGGCTCCAGCAAACCACAGCAACCTTCCAACACCCGGCACTGCCAACTCCCCACCAGCTGTTTCCCAATCAACAAGCAATGTTAATACCCAGGCAAGGGAATAGTTTTGCAACATACAAAGTAATCTCTGTTATAGTTAATTATAGTAAGATGTCTGATATGTGTACTTAGTAAGCCAAGTAAAATATGGATGAGTTATTACAAGCATCTCAGCCTAATTTGGATATGCCATGCATTTTTTTCCCTTTTTTTAAATTTTATTTTATTGCTGACAGTATTACGGATGTCTCCCATTTCCTCCCCCTTTACCCCCACCACCCAGCCTCTCATGTATTTTTTTTTTTATGGCCTGAAATAGTAATTCCATTTTAAGAAATTGGTTTAAATAGTATAAAGAATAACTGCATTTGTCATACTTTGGATTTAGAAACTAGGTTTAAGAAGTGCATTTTAAAATAAAAACTAAATAATTTTGATTAGTAAGCATATCCCTCAGATTCATTACTCATTGTTAAATATTTTGTGAATCGTAGCAGTGGGATCCAGCAAGGAATGAAAAGTTGCAAGAACTTTTTCTGCACGAAGTACGAATGGGAGAGCTTTGGCTATCTAGAGGTAAGAGCATAAACATTCTTTTGTAAGCAGTTCTTTATGATAATTTGTTCATTTATTGATCAGTATATGTATGTTAAGTAACTTAACTAGCTAGATGTGTTAGTCAATGTGCTTCAGTTTAAAGAGAAACTGTCCCAGCATTGTCACTCCATCCCACTTGCCAGCTCCAATGTGTTATAGTTAGTGTTCCAGGTTACGTTGCAGTCTTGGAAGTGCCGATGGAGAAGCAAAGCCAAATGCTAGAACACCTCATCTATCATCAGGTAAAAATTTAGTAAATGAATTTTCCAAATGGGTACTTGTGTGAACCAAAACTTAAAAAAGTTTTTAACTGCTTTATAAACATTTTCCTGCCTTCTTATAAAATACTTATTTTTTAGGGTAAAGTCATTATGAATATCCATTCTTGTCCTGTCTAATGTAGTGATGCCTGTAGGGAATACTTTGCTTTTAATAGCCATGACCTAGCTTTTGAAATATAATTTATCCCCACCCAATTCCAGCTTTGAGAGAAAACACAATATTGTCAGGTAAAATGATGGTAGATAATATCAGTATCGTATAAAATATCTATATATATAAAAGCCTAAGCAACCAAATGACCTGACAGTTGACTGGTTGCTATGACAAGCACTGACCACCAGGAGGCAGGTGCTCAATGCAGGAGCTGCCCCCTGGTGGTCAATGCACTCCCACAGTGAGGGAGTGCCGCTCAGCTGACCAATGGGCACCAGATGCAGGGCTCATGGACTGACTGGGCATGAGCCTGCAGCAGGCGCATCAGGGCTGGGATGAGCAGGGGCGGCAGGCAGGAGCAGCAGGCAGTCCAACATCCCTGAGGGGTCCCAGATTGCGAGAGGGCGCAGGCCAGGCTGAGGCACCCCACTGGTGCACCGGGCCTCTAGTTGTATATATAATGACCATGTTTTTACTCTGGTGTTGTACCCTGGAAAGGAAAATGTTTTTTTTGAGCCTTATCTAAGGGAAAAATGATGATGCTCAATAAACAAGCATCACACCCCTTTATATGTCATTTTTTTCAAGTGTTATCAATTCCCCTCCATATCACAGTACCTGTACCTGTTTTTGCTTCTTTTGTCACCCCTTTATATGTCATTTTTTTCAAGTGTTATCAATTCCCCTCCATATCACAGTACCTGTACCTGTTTTTGCTTCTTTTGTCTTTTTTGAAAAGATTTTGTTTTTCAACCTGTATTTATGAGGATAGCATCCTCTAGGATTTATAAAGACAAAGAGGAAGTCAAGATTCTGGACAATTCAGAGCAATACTAAAGATTTTAACTTTAATCGGTGGCTTAAGAACAATTTTTAGATAGGTTTATAAATTAACTAAAAATATCTGTTAAATATGAATGACAAAATGAATAATTAGAACTGACAATGGTAGAAGCAGGAGTGATTTTATACAAAGTAATGAAGTGTAAGTTTTAAGGACCTTCATTTGTATGGGCCTCTTTGAAGGTGCTGGGAAGGATCCTACCAATTTTGTATTCAAAATTTTATATTTTCTTTTTTAATCCTCACTCGAGAATATTTTTCCATTGATTTTTAGAGAGTGGAAGAGGGAAAAACAGAGAAACATTGATGTGAGAGAAACACATCAATTTGTTGCCTCCTGCACGTGCTCTGACCAGGGCCCCGGCTAGGGAGGAGCCCGCAACCTGGAATCAAACCCGGGACCCTTTGGTCCACTGATGCTCTACCCACTGAGGCAAACTGGCAGGGCAAATTTTTTTTATTTTCTTAAACAGGGTCCCCCAAATTATATAAACTAGGGGCTTCATAAAATCTGGATTAATCCCTAGATATGGATATTCCCTCAATAAAGGGGCAATTAAAATAGAGCTTGTCAGCTTTAACATTTTTCAATTGGGATAATATAAAATAAATATGGAGAGGAAAATTCTGAATATTAAGCCAAAAGAAAAAATAACAATTATTTTTTACATTCTATTTTTATTCACTATGTTTAAGAGCTATCATGTATTAATTTAGACTGAGATGAATGTTAGATATTAAATTGATTAAAACAGTAATTGCAAACTTGTGTATTTAAATTTTTCCCTCTCAAAGGTAATAGCATTAATTCTGTGAACCCCTAAATTGGTTAATTAGCTCTTTAAGGGTTACATACTTTTACTGTATTTTACTTTCAAAGCAGTTCTCAATCTTGATTGCTTATTCTTTAAATCCATCAAACCCCAAGCCAATTAAATCAGAATCTCTGGGGGTGGTACCCAAGCATCAGTATTTGTTAAACCTCCTGGTTATTATTTTTAAAAAATATATTTTATTGATTTTTTACAGAGAGAAATAGAGAGTTAGAGACATTGATCAGCTGCCTCCTGCACACCTCCTACTGGGGATGTGCCCACAACCAAGGTACATGCCCTTGACCGGAATCGAACCTGGGACCTTTTAGTCTGCAGGCCGACGCTCTATCCACTGAGCCAAACCAGTTAGGGCAAACCTCCTGGTTATTACAATATAAATCCAACACTGAGAACCAGTATTGTAATGCGATAACCTTTCACCCAGTTTTCTGTAATCTTTTTAAATTTTTTCCACTCCCCTCTATACCAACCCCAATTTTCATGACTTTGTTGTCAGGTAGTCTAGTTCTATAGCATCTCAATTGTGGTTATGTCTGTTTGGGACCATAGAACAATGATTTGATTGAATTTAGTGGTTGACTTAACTAATCATATTTTTTTTGTGTCACATTAGCTCCATCAACTTAAGATCAGGCACTATTGTATCTTTTTCTTTAAAAAGCTCAATACATTAAAAACATTTAGACTTAAAGTATTTTCATAAAGCTGTAATTGTATTAATTTAAAATAAACCGTACAGCAAAGTACTTCATTTAAGAAATAGCTTCTTTTATTTATTGATTTTAGAGAAAAAAACACACATTAATTTGTTGTTCCATTTATTTATGTATTCATTGGTTGATTCTTATATGTATCCTGACCTGGGATTGAACCCACAACCTTGGTGTATTGGGACAATGCTCTGGCCAACTGAGCTACCCAGCCAGGAACAAGAAATAGCTTCTTTAAATGCCTAAGAGAAGTTACAAAAAACCCAGCAATGAGGATTTCTTAAGTTGAAAATGTAAAATTAGGTGTCTATAGACACAAAATCTTAAGTCCTAAAATCTATGTATGGATAAGGCTTACTTTGTCTATGTCATATCTTTCATATATATATATATTATATAATTTTTTTTTTTTTGGTGTGTGTGTGTGTGCCTAAAAATATTTCTATTGACTTTTTAGAGAGGGAGAAACACTGATGTAAGAGTAGATCATCGATTGGCTGCCTTCTGCATGCCCCCTACCAGGGATTGAGCCCTCAACCTGGGCAAGTGCCCTGACTGGGAATCAAACCAGCAACCTTTCCCATACACAGGATGATGCCCAACTGAGCCACCCCAGCCAGGGCATATTTTAAACTTAATATACATCTTTGGGGAGCATTTTTTTCCTGTCCATTATGCACTTTTCATACAACCATGTAGTTCAACCAAGAAATGAAAAATTCATTTCCATTAATAAGAATCTAATATATTTAACTACAGACTATATTTTATTTCCTAACTAGTTATATATTAAATGTCAAAATTTCAACTTGTATCCTATATAATAAAAGCTAATATGCAAATTAACTGAACTGTGGAATGACCAGTAGCTATGATGCCCACTGATCACCAGGGGGCAGGCGCTCAATGCAGGAGCTGCCCCCTGGTGGTCAGTGCGCTCCCACAGGGGGAGCTCTGCTCAGCCACAAGCCAGGCAGTGCAGCGGTGGTGGCGGGAGCCCGTCTCCAAGGCAGTGCTAAGGATGTCTGACTGCTGGGGAGCGGGCCTAAGCCATCAGTCATAAATCCCGAGGGCTCTCAGACTGCGAGAGGGTGCAGGCCGGGCTGAGGGAGCACCCCCACCGCCCCCTTACCGAGTGCACCGGGCCTCTAGTTATTACATAACACCAGAAGAGAGGCAGCATACTGTAGTCTCAAGGTTCGGAAAATTAGGTTCTGTTACTAATTCTGGCATTAATTAGCTTTGAAACCTTAAATCATTTCACTGATCTTTGCCTCAGTTCCCCAAAACAAGGAAGTGAGACTGATTCCATGTTCTAACTTAAAGTCTGATTAATTTTTAGTCTTCACAAATTTTCATTCTTACTTTATAGCCAATCATCCTAAACTCAATTTAAAACTTTACTTAGAGATGAAAGTTTTTTTTTTTTTAAATATATTTTATTGATTTTTTTTTACAGAGAGGAAGGGAGAGAGTTAGAAACATCGATGAGAGAGAAACATCAGCTGCCTCCTGCACATCTCCTACTGGGGAGGTGCCCACAACCCAGGTACATGCCCTTGACTGGAATCGAACCTGGGACCTTTCAGTCCGAAGGCTGACGCTCTATCCACTGAGCCAAACCGGTTTCGGCGAGATGAAAGTTCTTAAATCTCTTAATTTCTTCCCCTGAATATGTAATTCATGTTACACTAAATCTTGTTTTAAAAATGCTCCCCAAAGATTTTTTAAAATTATCATTTAGCCAGAAAAACATGTTTTATCTACAATTTCATCAGCCACACACGTAAAGATAACAGAACACAACCTTTAAAAAAAAACTCAATACCTACCTCTTACAGGTATTCATATTTCAGCTTGACCTCAGTGAATCTGGCAGGTCAACATTTCCTCCCACATTTATATCCTTTATGAGGCTTGTTTGCATAGCCTTTATCTTTTTAAAAATGTTTTTGATTTTAGAGAGAATGGGGGAGAGAAACATCAATGAAAAACATTGATTGGCTGCCTCCAGCACACCCCCTACTGGGGATCGATCCTGCAAACTGGGCATGTGCCCTGACTGGGAATCAACTTTCGACCTTGTGGTGCATGGGATGACACACAAGCAACTGAGCCACACTGACCAGGGCAGCCTTCATCTTGATATGCTTTTAAAGTTTTAATACTTGGTGCTTTCTTGGTAATTTGTATAATGTATACTTTGCAGAATATTAAAATTTTGCTCTGAACTTATCAATTTGTTTCAGGAGAGCACAGAATGGGGGTTGAACATCTCAGCAATGCCCTTTCAATGTGTGGGCAACCACGGGAACTTGTGAAGGTTTTTAAACACACACTCCCTCCCAAGGTATTTGAGATGCTGTTACATAAAATTCCCCTGATTTGCCAGGTGAGCACTTATTTATCTTTGTGAAATGGGCAGAATAAACAAATTGGGCTTGGATACACAGAAATAGCAAAGTAGATGTGTGAATGGCCCAAAGTTTTAAATGAGTAAAATCTGATTTTTTTATTGCCTTTCTTGCCTTAAGGTGAAACAAGCCAATTCTTTCATGTTCCTTTGACTATAATGTATTATATATTTTGTTGAGAATTGTTTCAGCATTTCAATTTTAAAGATAGCATTGTTAACATTTTGTCTTTGTACTTTCAAAGATACCACAATTATTGACCTACTGTACTGTCCATGGAGGCCTTTAAGTTAAATGGTAATTGTTATTTAAATGTCCTAGTGCAGTGGTTCTCAACCTTGACTGCACATTAGAATCACCTGGGAATCTTTTTAAAATCCTGATTTCTGGGTCTCATCCTCCAGAAATTCTGTTTCTTTGTTATGGGGTGGGGCCACAACATTAGTAACAAAGAAACAGAATTTCCGGAGGATGAGGATCAGGATTTTAAAAAGATTCCCAGGTGATTCTAATGCGCAGGCAAGGTTGAGAACCACTGTCCTACTGGCTTAAAAATTAGATGTAACATAGAAAACAGTAAATTATCAAAGCAGAACACTTCTACTTTCCATTAGTATGACAAAACATAGATATCACGTTGGTAAGTTTAAACATATAGGCTAATCAGTGTTTTCTAAAGTATAACTTGAGATTGATATCAAATGAAATCCTTTCAGAAGCTAATTATTAATAGGTATTAGTCCACTTACATTTACCAAACTGCTTGATATGCTTATGGATCAACTAGAATTTCCTAAAAATGCTTGGATTTTAGGACTCATTTAGCCATAAGACACTACTTTTAACTTTGGTTCACTTTTTATTACACTAATCACATCATGGCTGAGAATACACTATGACTGACTGAGAATCATTGGTCTGACTCAGAATCATTCATGTTAGACTCCCAGCTTTTGAACAAAACACACATTCCACTAGACTCGCAGTGGTTCTCAACCTTCCTAATGCCGCGACCCTTTAATACAGTTCCTCATGTTGTGGTGACCCCCAACCATAGAATTATTTTTGTTGCTACTTCATAACTGTAATTTTGCTACTGTTACGAATCGTAACGTAAACATCTGATATGCAGGATGTATTTTCAGGGGTTGCGACCCACAGGTTGAGAACCGCTGCTAGAGCCTAACAGTCAACTCAAATATTCCCAACCTAGTCTCAGATGGGTTGTTTCCTGAAAATATATGGAAATGTAGCTAGAATAAGAATGTGTAATGCCCTCCCTGACACAGAAGAGAGGCAAGAAAAGGACTGTGCATTGAAATGATTAGTAACTATTTTATGTATTTACCAGCAATTTGAGGCAGACATGAATGAACAGGAATACTTGGAAGATGATCCTGATTGAAAAAACATTCAACGTATCCAGTCCAGTCCGAATACTATGTTATGATATAGCATAAACAACTGCGCAGTGATATTTCCATTTATTTAACTTTTAGAAATAAAAATTGTTTCTATCTCATTCATGATTTTGCTTTAAAATTAATAGTCACTATTGAAGAAATAATGGTTTATTTTTCTAATCAAGTGACTAAGCTCCTGAATCATAAGGCCTCAACAAATGTTGCATCTTACATGTTGATTGGACAGTAAGACCTTCTATTTTGATTATCCCTGGTAAATAGCAATTTTGTTTCTCCAGTGGTTTCCATTTGCCAGTCATGACAGATGGTTAACATGGTGGCTACTGCTTTCAGGGGATTCTATCAGATGAATCCTCAATTCCAGTGCAAAGCTATTGGCAACCTTTCAGGGAAAGTCCACCCCTCAGGACGTCTCTATCGTGGCTGGCCAAGGAGTCCTGCTTTGGCTGCCAGGGCTTCATTCTGCTGAATATGATATTCCTGAAATCTCATGGATATTCTTTGCGTCATTTTTAAATATTTCTGTAAGCAATGTTCTGAACAGGTGGTCTAGAAATAGAGAGAAGATGGAAGAGGCAACACAGAAATATTAATTTGAAGAAAAAAAAAGCATGTATTCTAAAAGACCAACCAGTAGGTACTTTTCTTTGAATATATCTGAGAATTAAATGGTATTAATAAGTAGCAGGTGACCATAGCTTTCAACTGTTAATATAAGAGGTATTACATTTTGATACCTACAGGTCTGTAGGCACTAAAAACAATGGTAAGTCCCTGCTATCTGGACTAGATTTTCTGCAGGTGTGTTTTAGTATTAACTGAAAGCCCACATTCCCATTCCCTTATTCTGATTATTAAAATGTAGGCCCAGTACAACTTTGTTCCTTTTTAATGAGAAATTCCATTCTTAATATTAAGTTAATTTTCAACCTTTTACTTTTTTCCAGTAAAAATATTACATTTAGCATCTATTAAACATTGTCATTTATTTAACAAGTACTTATTCATTGCTGGTTAAAAGTTAAGATCTTGGCATGAATGTTTTCAGTATTCTTCCACTGGAAGAAGTTATGTCACTTTAAGCCAATACATAAATGTTTTGATGAGCAGATTAAAAGTTATAACTTCTAATAGGATTGGGTTTTAAGAGTCTATCTATGCAATATGAGCGACCAAATTCGAGCTCTAGTTTTTCCAAAGTTACCCTGAATTCTCAGGGTCAGATAGAAAAGCCATGTCAAGTTTCTCTAGCTAGGTCATCTTAATTGAAAGCTAATTACTAAGACTGCAATGGAACAATAATTCAGCAAGCCCCAGGCATCTTCTCTAAAAAAGTCTGCCTTGATTCAATGTGACTATCATATTAAATTTGTCATCACTAAACTCAATGTTATGGGTCCTTGGCTGCTTTAGTTCCTCCAAGCAATGGAGCATAAAGGCAGGAAAAATTCCTGTAATAACTAGGAACAAGCAAAATGCTTAGGGGGATTGCTTTTAAGTTGCTGATCACAAGCTTAGAGAATTTTTAGTGGGTACACTTTTCATACCTCTTCAGGTTTTACTTCTCTTGTTGTGAAGTCTTTAACACAGTCCAAAAAGCAGGTTTCTGTAAGTTTATTGTAGGTTCCAAGAAATTCTTTAAACTATAAACAAATAAGGTATTTTTAAAAAACATAAATAAGGTGTTAATATTTGGTGTTTTAGAAAAATGTTTGTTGCAAGTATTACAGAAGTCCCTTCCCCCCCAACACTGACCCTCTCTCCACCCTGCTCCTGCCCCCTCCCCAGGTCTTCCCCGCATTACTGTCTGTTCGTGGGGTATGCCTATAGGTATATAAGTTCACTGGTTAATATTTGGCTTTTAAAACAAAAATGTTCTGAAACTTAACTGAAGTTTGTATTTTAGGTGAAATGTCCTGTAATATTTGAAATCAAACTTTTGCTAACTTAAATGGGTATACTATGATCTATGTAATATGAGCTACAAAATATAGTCAGATTTTCTGATTGAATATTCTTTCCTGGATTACCTGAAAATTAATATTCTTCATTTAATATCCAATTTTGGAAATGAAAGATAAACCATTATTTTGTGAGATCACTGACATGGTTGCATTCAACAGTGCCTTAAATTGTTTGCCAAATGTCTTTTTCTTAATTATAATACCTTACCTGTTTTATCTGATCAGATTCTGGAATTTGTGCAGCCATATTCTTTCGGTACCTTTATTAGTCACCTGATTTAAAAATAAAAAACGTTTGTCAACCTATAAACAAATATTTTATTTAAAAAAATGTTTTTTTTATTGATTTTAGAGAGAGAGGGAGAGGGAGAAAGAAACATTGGTGTGAGAAACATCGCTTGATCATCTGCTTCCTGTATACTCCCTACTGGGGACCGAGCCCAAAACCTGGGTATAAGCCCTGTTTGGGAATCGAACCAGTGAATTTTTGGTACATGGGACAATGCTCAACCAACTGAGCCACATGGGCTACAAATAAATGTTTTTAGGCTACTTGAAGAGTTAGGTAATCAAAACAAGAATAGTTTATGAAATAGAACTGAAACAAGTCTACCTGAAATACCACATTATTCACATTTTATCAATTTCTAACCATGTATGTAATTATACACCACTCCCCCAATTTCCCACATCATTAATGACAACAGAACCATAAAGTTTAGAATTAGATTTTTTAATGCTATTACCTGTGGGACCCAAAGACCCTGTCTATCTAAATCTTTAGTGGGTTACTTTTTTTGTTGTTGTTAATACTCGCCTGAGGATATTTTTTCCATTGATTTTAAGAGAGAGAAAAAAAGAGAGAGAGATCAATGTGAGAGAGAAACACATTGATTGGTCTCCTCCCGCACAGGCTGGGATAGAAATCTGCAACCCAGGTATGTGTCCTTGAGTGGGAATCGAACCTGAGACCCTCTGTCCAAGGGCCTACACACTCTAATCACTGAGTGGCTAAATCTCCAGTTTTAAGATGAATTGCCCTGCTACTGTGCAGAAAAGCTACTTATTAAAGTTCCATTCCCAGTAAGGTTTTTTTTAAAGGAATCTGAAAATTATTTTTTAGCTAATCCTCACCTGAGGATATTTTTCCGTTGATTTTTAGGGAGAGTGGAAGAGAGAGGGAAAGACAGAGAGAAACATCGATGTGAGAGAAACAGAAAAACATTGGTTGCTTCCTGCACCAGCCCTGACGAGGGCTCAGGCTGGGGAGGAGCCTGCAACCAAGGCACGTGCCCTTGACCGGAATCGAACCCGAAACCCTTTGGTCCAAAGGCCGACACTCTATCCACTGAGCCAAACCAGCTAGGGCCTTAGTAGGATTCTAAGGGAAAACAAGAGATCTCTGTTGTCTTCTATAAGTACTTCAGTTAACTATTCCATTGGTTGCTAATGTAACTTTGACCTGTGCTACTAATGATCCTTTTACCTTCTCTATGCAAATGCAGAGTACTATTAATTGTTAACAAACACTATCCTAACTTATAAATCAATAACCCAAATGAGTTCTAATATACTTTAAAAGGGAGTTATAGGAGTTGTGAAGTCTGAAATTCAAAAAGGGCAATAACTGTAACAGAAACTTCTAAACATATGACACTTATGATCTAACTTGGGGGCAACAGAGAAGTGAAGATAAGGAAGTCAAAAGCCTTTCTGAATTCCTGGGATTTTCAATATCCTAAATGGAGGGCCCAGGCTTAGTTAATCCAGAAATAAGAATGTATCACATTATTTACTCTATCTGGCTAGTTCTAAAATGGAAGAACATCTCACATAAAGATTTGTATAAAATAAGATGGTTTAAAATAGAAATTAAACAGCATGTAAAGAAAGAAGCAAATACAATCTTGTACACTGTAGACTAAATGAATTTTTATGCATTATATTTAGCTTGAATTTCCTAATAACCAATGCAAAAAAGATAAACTGGATGTATAAGTCATTCTTATTGACTCATTATTATTTGAAGTGGCTCTGAAAAGCATGACGTTTTCATGAAACTAGGAAACTCAAAGTGCTATCATCATGGAAAAAAAATAACATTCTCACTTGATTAACGAATATAATTGATGGTAATTCCATTCTAGTATTTCCAACCGTGTATACATCTTCCACTCTTTTGCATTTATTCTTTTCTCCTCTTTTTTTTTAATATTCTATAAGTTAGTGAGGATACAATCCATACTTATAGAACATTTCAGCCAATACCACAGAAGGCACATTTTTATCAAGTGCCCACTGAACCAATATCCTGGGTCATAAAACTAGCCTCAACAAATTTAAAATAATTTAAATCATTCTAAGTGTGTTCTCTGACCACAGATGAATCAAGCTAGAAATAATTAACAGAAAGAGAACAGGCAAATTTCCAAACATCTGGAAAATAAACAATAAATTTCTAAATAATCCATGGGTCAAAGAGGAAGTCTCAAGAGGGGGAAAAATCAGTGAACTGAATGAACTGAAAATACAACATATCAAAATTTGTGTTAACAGAGCTATATCAGTGCCAAGAGAACAATTTATAGCATTAAATTCATACATTAGAAAAGAAGAAACCTCTCAAATCAAAGATCTAAACTCCTACCTAAAGCACCTAGAAAAGGAGCAAAATAAACCCAAAGCATGTAGACAGAAATAATAGAACAGAAATAATAAAAATGAAAACATAGGCCCTGGCTAATGTGGCTCAGTTGGTTGAGTATCATTCCATGCACTGAGAGGTTGCCTGTTCGATACCCAGTCAGGGCATATGCCCGGTTGCGAGCTCCATGCACAGTAGAGGGCGTGCAGGAGGCAGCTGATCCATGTTTCTAGCTCATCTCTCTCTCTCTCTCTCTCTCTCTCTCAAAATCAATAAAAACATACTTAGACCCTGCAGACGTCAAAAGTGTAACGAATTTAGTATTATCCTAATATCAAAACCAGACAAAGGCAGTACATAAAACTAGAGAAATATCCCTCATAAAATAGACCTATATGTCCTTAACAAAATAATAGCAGATTGATATTACTCTGCTGACTATCCTCTACTTGCCCCTTAGTATACCTAACTCATGGTGACGAAAGATGGT